TTTTGTTCTGACTTCATACGTTGCTGTACGCATGATTCTACACCTCCTGTTAGAGGATGTGGGGTGAAAGATGCTTTAGTTGTGTGACATCTGGGCAGGTAGTCCTTGACTTACAAAAGTTCATTTAGTGATGGTTCAGAGTTATAACCTCACTGAAAAAAGGCCGTTTTTCACACTTATGACCCTCGCGGAATTCCCCCTGGTCACGTGATTTACATTCAGATGCTTGGCGACTGACTCACATTTATGATGGGTTGCAGTGTCCCTGGATTGCCTTTTGCGACCTTCTGACGAGCAAAGTCAACGGGGAAACGAGATTCACTTAACCATCGGGTGACTAATTTAATTAATTAATTTGATTAATTTAGCTGCAGTGATTCACTTAAAGAAATGTGGCAAAAAAAGTCATAAAATGGGGGCAAAACTCACTTAAATTTCTCACTTAACAACATACATTTTGGGCTCCATTGTCGTGTGTACGTTGAGGACTACCTGTATTAGGTGGGGGTATTGATTTAGTCTTCAGATAGAAGATTTGTAGGTCAAGACTGAGTTGTGAGGGTCCTTGGTTCTGTCTGAGCTTGATGGTTTCCTTGGAGACATTTCAATTACCCAACTAGGGAATATCATCAGTGCTAGAAGGGAGTGGGATTTTCAGGGAGGAGGAGGAAGATGGGGGAGAGGAGAGAGGAGGAGGAGGAGGATGAGAGAAAAGAAGATGAGGAGGAGGAAAGGAGGAGAGGAGGAGGAGGAGGAGGAGAGAAGAGGAGGGGAGGACTGTGGGGTCCTTGGTGCTCTCAGATCTTGGTTGTCTTCTTGCAGGGATGTTTCATGATCCAACTAGGTAACATCCTCAGTGCTAGAAGGGAGTGGAATTTTCAGGGAGGAGGAGGAAGATGGTGGGGGAGGAGGAGGAGGAGAGAGGAGGGGGAGGAGGAGGGGAGGACTGTGGGGTCCTTGGTGCTCTCAGATCTTGATTGTCTTCTTGCAGGGATGTTTCATGATCCAACTAGGTAACATCCTCAGTGCTAGAAGGGAGTGGAATTTTCAGGGAGGAGGAGGAATGACGGGGGGGAGAGGAGGAGGAGGAGAAAGAGAGGAGGAAGAGGAGGGGGAGGAGGAGGGGAGGACTGTGAGGTCCTGGTACTCCCAGATCTTGGTTGTTTTCTTGCAGGGACGTTTCATGATCCAACTAGGTAACATCCTCAGTGCAAGAAGGGAGTGGGATTTGTTCTCTGTTTCTATACCAGTGGCTTGCCCCGTCAATATTGGCAAGAGCGTTCTTGGTGGTTCCTTGATTAAGGAAGTAGAGATTATCAGATAGGCAGAGATTAATACCCAAATTAATACTACACAAATAATCAGTAAGCAACAGCTTAATCAAGGAATCATCAAGAACAGCTCCACCAACACTGAGAGAGAAAATTACTTGTATATAAATGGGGATGAAACCCATTCCCTTCTACACTAGTGACGTTACCTAGTTGGGTCATGAAACGCCTGTAAGAAAACAACCAACGTCTGGAGCACCAAGGACTTCACTTCTCATCCTCGTCCCCCTCGTCCTCTCTCATCCTCCTCGTCCTCCTCGTCCTCTGAAAGCTCAGGCAGCCCAAGGAGCTGCTGATACAGTTCTTCAGAGGAATGATTGAGTCTGTCATTTCCACCTCCATAACTGTCTGGTTTGGCTCTGCAACCCAAGAAGACAGACACAGACACGGACTTCAATGGATATTAAAACGGCAGAAAAACACTGGCTACCAACCTGCCTTCCATTGAGGACCTGTATACTGCACGAGTCAAAATGAGGGCTGGGAAAATTTTACAGACCCCTCGCATCCTGGACAAAAAATTTATTTCAACTTCTACCCGCAAAATGACGCTATAGAGCACTGCACACCAGAACAACTAGACACAAGACAGTTTTTTAATTTTTTTTCCCGAACCCATCACTCTGCTAAACAGCTGATTCCCTCAACACTGGATCCAATCCATTCCAAATTTTCTATTCTATTCTATTCTATTCTATTCTATTCTATTCTATTCTATTCTATTCTATTCTATTCTATTCTATTCTATTCTATTCTAATTCTAATTCTAATTCTAATTCTAATTCTAATTCTAATTCTATTCTATTCTATTTTTCATTCCATTATTCTGTTCCATTCCATTCCATTCCCTTCCCTTCCATTCCTATACGTTCTGTTCTGTTCTATTCTATTTTGGAGCAACTGTATTTATGATGACTATGATCATGGTTTATCACTTATATATCTTTATGTACACTGAGAGCTTATGCACCAAGACAAATTCCTTGTGTGTCAAATCACACTTGACCAATAAAGAGTTCTATTCTACTTCTACTCTACTCTACCTACTCTACTCTACTCTACTCTACCCTACCCTACCCTACCCTATCCTATCCGAAGAATAGAGTAGAGTAGAATAGAGTAGAATAGAGTAGAATAGAATAGAATAGAATAGAATAGAATAGAATAGAATAGAATAGAATAGAATAGAATAGAATAGAATTCTTTATTGGCCAAGTGTGATTGGACACCCAATGAATTTGTCTTGGTGCATATGCTCTTGGAGTACATAAAAGAAAAAATACATTGGTCAAGAATGATAAGGTACAACACTTAATGATAGTCATAGGGAAACAGTCAATATTCTATTCTATTCTATTCTATTCTATTCTATTCTATTCTATTCTATTCTATTCTATTCTATTCTATTCTTTCTATTCCCTCCCCCTCCTCCTTCTTCCCCTCCTCCACTCCACAAACCGTCTCTAGCACTATGATGTTACCAAGTTAGAACATGAACTTCTGCAAGAAAAAACCCAACCTCAGTGAGTACCCCATAGAGTTCAACCTGAGCTACAAAAGTTCTCCTTCTACTGTCTCCTTTCTTCCTTCTCCCTTCTTCCTCCTCCTCCTCACCCTACATCCTGCAACCACTAATAATGTGACATAGTTGAATAATAAAACATCTGCAAGAATACATCCAAGCTCAGGCAATACCAGGGACCTCAAAGTCCTTAGACTGGGCTCCTTCAGGCATAATATCTAAATACACACACACACACACACACACACACACACACAAACACACACGTGTGTGTTTCCTGCAGAGATGTGTCAGAAAGCGAGGCACAGCATGTTTATTTACCGAATTTTTCGGAGTATAAGGCAACTTCCCCCCCTAAAAGAGGGTGAAAATTTGGGTGCATCTTATACACTGAATGTAGCCCCGCCCACCCTACGCCCCCACACTTTGGCCTCTGCCTCCCAGCAATTTGCCTCCTTGCAGCAAGCAGCAAACAGCCCATTTCAGCTTCAGCACAGCCTGATTAGCATAAACAGCTGATGGTCGGTTGGATCGGCCTCCCGACCATCAGCTGTTTCAGCCTGCAGGGATTGCCATTGCCTACTGCCCATTCTGATCTCCACTGCCCAAACTGGGTGCACGGAGGCTGAAAATGGGACGCGCAGAGGCGGCAATAGGCTATGGCAATCCCTGCAGCCTGAAACAGCTGATCATCAGGAGGCTGATCCAACCGACAATCAGCTGCTTGTGCTAATCAGGCTGTGCTGAAGCTGAAACAGGCTGTCTGCTGCAAGGAGGCAAATTGTTGGGAGGCAGAGGCAGATTTTTTTTTCTTGTGCTAATCGGGCTGTGCTGAAAATGAAACAAACTGAAACAGGCTGTTTGCTGTTTGCTGCAAGGAGGCAAATTGCCGGGAGGCATAGGCAGATTTTTTTTTTCTTGTTTTCCTTCCCAAAAAAGTTAGGTGCGTCTTATAGTCCGGAGAGTCTTATACTCCAAAAAATATGGTATTTATTTATTTCTTGGGGTGTGTGTGTTTGAGGACCTCAAGTCACTTTATTATATGCAGCTCTTTTAAATTGGTTTTATCGACGTTTTAAAGGTTGGGCTTAATACGTGAGCTTGAATTGTTAAGACTCATCATGAAACAGCTGGGGTGTGATAAGTAAACAGTGTAGAATTGTCGGGAATATCCACTTAACAGCTGCATCAAGAAAAGTCGTAAAATGAGAGTCACTTAACCCCTGTCTGAGTTAACTACAGGAACGCGGGGCACAATTGTGATCATAAGTCAAGGACTACCTGAACCAAGTTGATGAATGACTTTTAAAACGTTGGATGAGCGAAAAAAAAACCTGTAAGGAAATGCACTCTACAGCTCAATTAAACTGTGTTGTGGTTAAAAGTGTATTTGGTCAACTGAGAGCCTTGGTAGTACAGTGGTCTAAAGCACCCTGTTATTAAGACCAGCTGCCTGCAATTACTGCAGGTTCGAATCTCGCCAGGCTCAAGGTTGACTCAGCCTTCCATCCTTTCTAAGGTAGGTAAATTGAGGACCCAGTTTGTGGGGGCAATAAGCTGACTTTGTATAAATATACAAAAGGATGAAGGCTATTGCTTAACGCATTGTAAGCCGCCCTGAGTCTCCAGAGAAGAGCGGCATATAAATCAAATTAAAAAAAAAAACCTGGTACGCCTACCCTAATATCCAATTTCTCCGCTGCAAATTTCAATTGAATTAGGCAGCTGTTTCCATAGTAGTCCAAAAACCCACAAGTATTCTAGAGCAACTTCTTCACCCTTTGGACGTACATCATTGGCCTCACGTCATTTGACAATTCAAGACTTAATGGCTCCCAGGAGGCTGTATATATCATCTTCTTTTAACAACCCCCATAATCCCTTGCGGGGTGGAGTCTGGGCAACTGAATGGAGCTAGCAGAGTTTCATGGCCAGATGCCCTTCCTTGTCGCCAATGCGGAGTTTTCTTCAGCAGGTTATATTCTCATTGTGCCGAGAGAGAGAGAGAGAGAAATACCTGCCGCTACCTAGGATTGAACTCACAGCCTCCTGACTCTGAGGCAAGAGCTCTAACTCTAGGCCACCGCACCTCTCTCCCAGGAGGCTGTATATAAAATGTTGATTTCAAAAAGGAAATTGACCCCCCCCCGAAAAATCATGTGCAAATTCCCTCTGTGAGTAAGTGTAAGCTCACCCCCTGTGCAAATCAGCGTGGAGGGCTTCTGCTCCAGGGGATTTTACAAATAGGATACTTGGAATCCTCAAATATTGGCTGACAAAACTGGAACAGGCACGTGTTTTACCTATTTCTGTTATAAAATGCACACGAGCTGGGATGGGACACTGGTGGCCTTTATATTAAAAAGGAAGACCGGCCTACACATATAAGCTGTTCACACTCGAGAGACTTTTAGAGACATTTTATACTTTCTGTAATTAACGGGAGGGTTCCTCCATCCAAAACTCATGTACTCTATATCTTAATTGAGCTGTACCAGAGGTGGGTTTCAGCAGGTTCTGACCAGTTCTGGAGAACCGGTAGTGGAAATTTTGAGGAGTTCGGAGAACCGGTAGTAAAAATTCTGACTGGCCCCGCCCCCATCTATTCTCTGCCTCCCAAGTCCCAGCTGATTGGGAGGAAATGGGGATTTTGCAGTATCCTTCCCCTGGATTGGGGAAGGAATGGAGATTTTACAGTATCCTTCCCCTGCCACGCCCACCAAACCATGCCCACCAAGCCACGCCGACAGAACCGGTAGTAAAAAACTTTGAAACCCACCACTAAGCTGCACGTGTCCACTTCATAGAGGGCTTTCTAGATATCTTTGGACTACAAATCCCATCGCCTCTAAGGGCTATCTGGAGAGAGCCCTAGGTAAGAAAAGGCGAAGGGTAGGAGAACAGGAGGAGACGTACTTTAAAAACAAAATATCAGAATTGCATCCCTATTTTTCCTAAATGCCATAAAATCTTATAAAAGGCCAGCCCAAGGCAGGAAGTGAAGAGTAGGATATTGTACAGAAAAAGTAAGAAATTTATTACAAAGTGTAACAGTAAAGAACCCTTTAGGCAGCCAGATTTTTGTTGTTGTTGTTGCTGTTGTGGTTTGCGAGCATGTCACTGGAATCCCCGAGTAATTTGGTCATCGCGTCTGTGTTTCACGCAGGAAAGAACAGGAATGACAATAAGGCAGACACTAAATGCGTCGGGAAAGATGCGCGAACCCTTCCCAATTCTGATTCCTGCAAGGATTAGAATCAGCCGGAGTTTCTTAGAACACACAACGGATCCTAAGAGTGGGTTTTTTTGGACGTAAAAAGAGAGAATGGAACAGGGTGGACGGTTCCTAATGCCCTTTCCGATGGAAAAATGTTATCCCTTAAACCAGGGATGTCAAACTCAATTTCATTGAGGGCCACATCATGTTTAAGGAAGAACACCGACTGAAGCAATTTGCAGGGAACAACTTCGTTCACATACCTTCGTGTCTTGTCTTGCTTATCTTATCAGCTTCCTGCAAATTGCTTCTGGGCATTCTGCCAACCACAGTAAGCTTTCAGTTATTATTCTTTGAATTCTTGGTGGCTGTTAATCCAGTTAATTAACAGCCGTTGTTGTAAAAGACTGATTTATTTAGTAAACCAAGGTTTGAACGGACTTTGTGTGTGCTGCATTCTTTGGGGTCCGTAGCGGGGGCAGGACACATCAGGGTTGTGTGTGACCTCGGGGGGCCAGGGTGAGCGTGGCCAGCTCGGCATCACTCATATCGGGGGCGCCTGTGGTGGCCTGTGAAAACAGGCTCCAGAGCTCCGCTTTCGTCTGCGACAACCTCCTGCATTCCTCTGTCAGTGAAAATGGAGCTTGGGAGTGCCACCCATGGCCCTCACAAGCTCAGTTTTCGGCTGAGATGGCCTCCTGCAACTCTCTTGGGAAGCATATAGAAAACAGCACAAAATCCCAACCAAACTGCTTTCTTTACCACAGGGTCCAACCTTGGCAACTTTAAGGCTTGTGGACTTTAACTCCCAGAATTCCCCCAGTCAGCCATGCTAGATCCCGTAACGCAGGAGTGTCCAATCTTGGCAACTTGTGGACTGCAATTCCCAGAATCCCCCAGTTCTTCTACACCCCTTGCTTTACAGGATCTAAATAAGCAATTGTATACAAATTTGTATTTTTGCAATAGAAAACTTTCGTCGACGTTTGAAACGCTTGCAATTTGGGGTATTTTTTTTCTAAATTCGAAGACAATGTCTTCGCTCTTTATGTGGCGACTTTTAGATTACTTCACCTGCTACTCTACCTGAACCAGGTAAGAGGAAAAACCAAGCAGAATGAAGCAGCGCTATAGATCGCTGAGTTTAGTGACAAAAGATTTACATGAAAGGATAGCCGTGACTGAAAATCTGGGGGGAATTAGTGCTATTCACTGGCTGAAAAATCCCTTGGCTGTTTGTTTTTTTAAACAATTATTTTGTATGTGTTTGAGTGTGTGTGTGTGTGTGGAGGATTTCTAACAGCTGCTATTTCAAATGTTTATGGAATGCATCAAACTCTTTCAGGGTGACGTAACATCTGGTTGCACCATCAGAAAGAAAAAAAACCTTTTTTTTTTGCAAGTGGTATCAATTCAAAATTGCTTCCGGTCAGCTGGATTTTTGTGGTTTTTTTTTTTTTAAAAAAAAAAGCTTGATCTGCCCCATTCCAATATGAAATATAGCGTCGTTGCTTATTGAAAAGCCTTCTTCCCTACCCCATTTTTTTTAAAAAAACCCCGGCAGAATACATCGGACGATATTGCTTGAAAGACTGTGGATCAAGCCTCGCCTTCCAATATTTTCTCTTTGCCTCGTGAATTGTGTTCATTTTTAAATCAGCTCTTTTAAAAGTGGGCTTGCACCCCAATACGAATGTGATATCCGCTGTGCGGAAAAGACAAGCAAAACTCCACCTTCGACAGTTAGTTGCCAGCGGTGAACACTCTGCAGTCTATGGCGGAACACACTTTGTCGTAGCAATAGTTGTGTTTTTTGGTGGGGGTGGCATCGCTGGTCTCCGCATCCACCACCGTGATGGGACTGTCTCGCGCAAACACCTCTGTCGATTCTCTCCAGATGCAGTCCGCGGTCGCCTTGAAGCTGTAATGGTGACACTTGGGCTTCATCAACTGAGTGGCGTTGTTGAAAATCTGCCGGCTGTTGGATGTTGCGATTTTGATTTTCAGGGCGGCGTCCACGCGATCCACCACGGTGTATGTGGCGATGCTTCCATCGTCGAAGCCCACAATGATGTTCAGGTGCCTCTGGGAAAGAGTTAGGAAAGTGGGGGTTTTGTACAGCGAGCAAGCCCCGATGTTTTTGCCATCCGCCAACCTCACGACAATTAAGGTAGAGATGGCGCTGTTATCCTCATCGTCTTCCCCGCTGCAAAAACAAATGTACACTAGGTAGCGTCCGTCCTGAGACAGCTTCTGCCTCCAGATGATACCCGATGCCTGGACCACTCGAAGTTTGCCGCTGTGAAGATCCAGGATGTTGATGTTCTCATCTCCACGAGAAAGAATCCCGAGTTTCCCATTGGGCGATATTTCGAAATCCTCTAACGTTTTCAAGAAACCACTAGGCAGCTGTAAACGTCTAGAGATGACTTCCTCGGTAAGACTGTAGATGTTCACGGTTTCAGCAGATGTTATAAAGACCACGATATCCGGGCAGTCTGGAATGCTTTTGATATCCACAATGGCGATGCCATCATCACAAGAAAACTTCTTGGTTATGCTACCAGTCCACAGGCTGACCACTAAGACTTTGTTCTTGGTCATCCCAACCACAAAGGTGTTTGCAGTGGTGATAAACGCATTCTGCAAGGACACAAGAATGTTGCACACCCGGTGTCCGGTAGACAGCCTCCAAACCCTGGATGCGTTTTGCTCACAGAGGGAGACCACAAACTGGTCGTTATGGGTTATCAACAGTTGGCATATCTTTTGCCCATTAATGCGGAAGAGATTTTCTCCGGAACCCGTTTGCCACACATACTGGCTGCATTTGTCATCAGACGTAATCATCAATTTCCCGTTGGAAGTCAGGACACAGTTTTCAACCAGGCTTTCGTGCTTAAATATTGCTTCAATGAATCCCGTGCTGAAGTTCCATTTATGGATAGCTTCAGATCCATCCAGCGTGTAAATTGCTTCCCCCTTCGCGGGCAAAACCAGTCTTTGGATTGGCTTGCCTGTTTTGTCAATGTTGGACATTGCAGTGATAATATCAATGTCCCAGACCGAAAGGACCCCGCTGGTGGACAAGGAGAGCAACATGTTGTGATGGTTTGACTTCATCAACCGGACAATGTTTCCTGAGATTTCTTGTAAGGTCACCATGCACTGCCCGGTATCTCTTCTCCAAACGAAAATGGCAGAGGTATTTTCAATAGACGCAATGATACAATCTCCGTTCTTGGATAATGCGGCCGAGATGAAGCGCTCGTTCCTTTTCGCTCTAAACTTTTCCACGACTTTCCACATGCTGGTGTCCAGGAGGTCAATCCCAAGGGACTTGCAGATTAGAATGGTGCTTTGGTCTTCGGCAAGTTCAAGGCTGACAAATTCGTTATCCCCCCTCCTGCAATCGAAGTCGTCCATTAATTGAGGGTGGGCTATTTCCTCTGTGTTCCAAATAGAAAGGGCTCCTTCACTGTCCACCATGACCATCTCTTGAGCTGAATCTAAGACGAGAAGAAACTTGACAAACCCTCCTGAGAATTCAGAGGTCACAGTGGCCAGCTTGTCGCCGCTGCCCAAATGAAATATTGACGCAGTGTTCAGATGTTGTCCACAGAAAGCATACATCCCATCTCCTGAACACTGGACGCAAGTGACTTCATACCAACAGTGGAACTGATGAAGTGGCCATCCGTACAGTAAATCGATCACTGTGATGTCCTTACTAGCTTCCAACCATGACAGCACGTGGTTTACAGAGAGGGCAAATCCATTTATAAAACTTGAACTCACTCCAATTCCGCTATGCTTTGATCCTTTAATTTCCACCTCGGAGAGAAGACAAGAGTTTAGATTGTCATAAATCAAGAGTGTGTTCTTGGTGGTGGCCACCACAAGGTATTTTTCATCGCTCGTCAGTTTCATGCCCAAAATAACTGACTGAGCGGTTGTAATTTGCCTTAAGAGTTGGCGAGTCTCGATATCCCAGGTACTGATGGACCCATTTTCTAGAGCAACAATAACTATACTTGGATTGAAAGTAGGTAGGATTTCGGTCACTTGAGAGCAGCTGGAGGACAGAGGTAGCCTTTCAGGACTATAAGTGACATCCATGGAAGAATGAAGTGGAACAATAGAACAATACTTAGGGCCATCTTTGTCACACTCTAGAAGAAGCTGTCTCAGTTTGGGCAAGGAACTCATCACTGGGAGTAGCCTCTGTTGTAATTCAGCTGAGAGGGTCCCTGGGTATTTTATCACTTTGTATTTGATGGCCCGCAGGGTAGTTGCTAGAAACTTCAGCTCTTTCTCCTGCGAGTAGTTGTAGGCCAACTCCACATCTGAAAGGGCTTTGTCGAACTGTCCAATTTTGATCATGGTGTAAAGCCAGCTGAAGTTCATGATGACGCCGTACAAAATGTCATCGGATTTCCCGCACTTGGTCAGGTGATGCAAAAGCTCGGTCATTTTCCGGTGGTTAATGAAAAATATGTCAGGCTCCAAAGGATTGCACTGGAAGACCCAAGGCTGATCGGGAGACTGCCTATCAAAATTCATGAGGTCCATCATGTGCCTCTCCTCATTGTTCATACTCCTGCAGTCACTGTCCAAGCAGCCATTCAGATATTGATCTTCGCCGTAAAGAGATTTCCTTCGGCCTCCAGACCAAACCCCTAAAAAATACTCTGCGATGATAGCGTGCATTTCATGCACATCTTCTTCACTGTGAAGATAAATCTTTTGGGCAATCAGCTGTAGGTGCCGATTAGCCCAAACTAAAAGAGTTACATTTTTCACTTGTCTTTCTATCAGGTATCCCGTTAATCCTTCTTTTAGTTTGGCGATGTAGATGTAAGGTACTCTCAATGGATTGAGGTTTCTGATGCGTTGACTTAGTTCTAGCATGACAGTGTTATCGAGGGCTAAAACGTCTTCCAATTCCATTTCACTCAAGCCAGTTTTGGATATTGTGATATAGCCAAGAGCTCGGGATAAAAGTCTCGGTCCGCAGATGTTCTGCAGAGACCAGAACATCTGCTCTATGCCATCATGAACAGTGACGCAGAGGGAAGACCCGTCAACATCCTTGTGAGATCTCCAACTTCGAACTTCTCGGAAGGTTAAGTTTACAAACATTGGCAGAGTGCATTTCGAGAAAGCTTCATTGACGTAGATTTGCTGGCCCGATGTGACTTTTCTCTTCACTTGGAGCAACTGTTGCTTGAGGACTTGACTGCATGTCTTTCTGTCCCTCGCGGTCAACTCGATGTAGTTGTCTTCCTCGTGGATAAGGCTCTTCAGTTTTTGCAGGATGCCGTGTTTGTTCGGCAGCGTGGACAAGATAATTCGCACCGAACGAGGCAGGTGAACAGGAAGCCACCACAATTTCCTGGCGTCCTCGTGATCCGCCAGCTGTTCCAGAGCGTCAAAGATTAAAACCAGGGGACGATGAAAGGAAGACTCATTCAAAAGGTTAATGAGTAAGTCTCGGAGATCGTGGATCTTTTTTGGGTAGCTTTGCACGAGGCATCGATAGTTGACCGTTAACTGTTCACAAATACTTTGAAGCAGAGTTCTCAGGTCTGTGCTCATCTCTGTAGATCCTATAAATCTTATGATCACCACAGGATCCGATTCCGGTCCTATCTCTTCCTTCAGCCAAGCATAAGCCTGCAAATGTAGAAGTACAAACAGATTAATTATTCAAATTAGTATACCTCATCCAGACACACAAGCAAGAAACACCGTGTTCTGACCCAGCTCTCCAAACACGACAAACCCTCTGAAGTGAACTCAAAAGATTCCTTTATTAGGGGCGCCGGCAGCCCCGGTAAAAAGTTTCTCTCTCCCTGCAGGTAACAAGTCCGTTCGGCAGGAAGATGGATAGTTGTCTGCCATATTTATTCATTTCCGCCCTCTGCCTTTTATCCCAAAAGCTAGGGTGGGGCTTCACTAGCATCAGTGGCTCTTCCTTCCCAAGGATCTGCCCGTATATTTCCACTGCTCTCCTCTCCTCTGCCTTTTGTGCATCCGCATGTCAGGCACTGGACCCAGCTGTTCCTCCTCTTCCTCATCAGCCACATCCAGATCTAGGGGCTATTGACTCTCCCTCTGAGGGTTGATGGATGGCCCAGGCTCCACCTATCCCTCTCTCTTTGCCAGCTCCATTACCTCTTCCCCCTCGGAGCTCTCAGGTTGCCTCGATGCTGGCCCAAACTCCCACACCTCCTCCTCCTCTGATTTGGCTGCTGGAGGGGCTGGCGGCCGACAGGCCACAACACACGGTAAATACAGGTAGTCCTCGACTTACAATAGTTGGTTTAGTGACCGTTACAATGGCACCGAAAAAAGTGACCCATGACCATGTTTCGCACTTACGACCTTTAAAGCATCCCCATGGTCATGCAATTTAAGTTTGGATGCTTGACAAACTGACTCACATTTATGACGGTCGCAGTGTCCCCAGGTCACGTGATCCCCTTTTGATCAGGTCATTGAGCCAGTGCTGTTTCTGTGGTCATGTGGCCAAATTAACCAAAATTTAGCCAAATACATAAAACAGCTATTTTTGTGGCCTGAAAATACCCACTTAGGATTACATCATTTTTATATCATATATTTCGTAATCATTTCAAAGGAAAACAAGTGCAAAACTAGCATTTTATACAAAATTACATATAGTCCTTGACGGTTCATTTAGTGACCATTCGAAGTTACAATGGCACCGAAAAAAGGGACTTATGAGCATTTTTCACACTTTTGACCGCTGCAGCCAGGGTCATGTGATTTGCATTCGGATGCTGGAGAAGATGTGGTGCCAGAGGCGGGGATTCAGCCAGGGCCTTCAGAACCTCCAGAAGCTCCTATAAGTGAAGAGGAAGAAGAGGAGGAGCCTCTTCTTGATGCACGGGCGCACAGAGCTGCCAAAAGGCAGGAGTGGCTCCTCAGGAGGAGATCTCCTCGAGAGTAAGGCTTGGGGCTAATTGGCCACTCCCTTAGCCTATTTAAGGAGGAACGCCAACTGAAGCAATTTGCAGGGAACAACTTCGTTCACATGCCTTCGTGTCTTGTCTTGCTTATCTTATCAGCTTCCTGCAAATTGCTTCTGGGCATTCTGCCAACCACAGTAAGCTTTCAGTTATTATTCTTTGAATTTTTGGCGGCTGTTAATGCAGTTAATTAACAGCCGTTGTCGTAAAAGACTGGTTTATTCAGTAAATTAAGATTTGAATGGACTTTGTGTGTGCTGCGTTCTTTGGGGTCCGTAGCTAGGGCAGAACACAGGGTTATGCAATTTACATTCAGATGTTTGATGAGTGACTCACATTTATGACGGTCACAGTGTCCTGGGGTTATGGAATCCCCTTTTGTGACCTTCTGACAAGCAAGGTCAATGGGGAAGTCAGATTCACTTCTTAACAATGGTGTGACTAACTTAACAACTGCAGTGCTAAACTTAACAACATGGCAAGGGAAGTTGTAAGATGGGGCAAACCTCAGTTAACGAATTTCTCACTTAACAACAGAAATTTTGAGCTCAATTTTGGCCATATGTTGAGGACTACCTGTACATTAAAAATGATTGTGGGAACTGGGTATGTCCAGCGTAATGAAGAGAAGGACTAGGAGTAATTTGATAGCAGTCTTCCAGTATTTGAGGGGCTGTCTGTTGTGGCCCGCCAGCGGCCTGCACGGATTGTGGCTGATCCTGACGACGAGGAGGCTGGGGTGGTGTCGCGCCAGCAGTCTGTGCAGCTGGCGCTCAAGTCGGACAGCGAGGAGGCTGAAGAGGATGTGGTGCCAGAGGCAGAGACTCAGCCAGGGCCTTCAGAACCTCCAGAGGCTCCTTCAAGTGAAGAGAGTGAAGTGGAGGAGCCTCTTCTCAATGCACGAGCACCCAGGGCTGCCAAAAGGCAGGAGTGGTTACTCAGGAGGAGGTCTCCTCGAGTGTAAGGCTTGGGGCTAATTGGCCACTCCCTTAGCCTATTTAAGTTTGCACACAGCTGGCAAACGTTGCAGGAAACAACACATGTTCGTCCGGTCGCTCTCTGAGCATTTGAGAGTGAAATTTCCTTGCAAACCTGGTTTCTGGGCTGATTGCCAACTCTTGTAAGCCTTTATCTAATCTTTGGAATTCCTGGCAGGCCGTTAAGGACATTTTTAGTAATAGCCTGCATTTGACAAAAAGACTGTTTGTAGTAAACGGAATTGTTCGGAGTTTTGTGCGTGCTACATTTCTTGGGTTCCATAACTGGGGCAGAACAGTGTCACAGAAAAGAAGGGGTGGTACCTGACAGTAGGACAAGAAGTTAATGGATGGAGGCCTATCAAAGAGAGATCCCACCTAGAACAAGCAATAGCAATAGCACTTAGATTTATATACCACTTTACAGCCCTCTCTAAGCAGTTTACAAAGCCAGCATATTGCCCCCAACAATTTTGGGTCCTCATTTTACCCACCTCGGAAGGATGGAAGGCTGAGTCAACCATGAGCCTGGTGAGATTCGAACCGCTAAATTGCAGGCAGCCGGCAGGCAGCAGAAGTAGCCTGCAGTACCGCACTCTAACCACTGCGTCACCGAGGCTCATAATAAGGAGAACTAAGGCGAAATTTACTCTTCATGAGAACGATTAAGCAGTGGAACCGCTTGCCTCCAGAAATCGTGGGTTCAACAAGCCATTTGCTCAGAATGTTATAGTTTCCTGCTTGAGCAGAAGGTCAGGCTAGAAGACCTTCAAGGTCCCTTCCGACTCTGTCATTCCAGTATTCTAAACTGTTTTACTTTGGGGCTCTTGATTAAAAATGTTATGGTGCTTATAGCATCTTTAACTAGGATGCTTATTGGAATGTTTTGCATTATGAATTGAGATACTACGTTATAAAGACTGTATTATAATGGGCGACTGAATTTTTACCTGGTTTTTACCCTTATTGGAATACAATAGTATTCTTTTTAATTAACGCAATTATGTGTTGCCTATCTGTTTGGCAATAGAGGACCATTTAATTATCTCCATGACACCCAAAGCAATTTTGTGATCATTGCTTTAATAAAGCATAAAGCATATTCTAGCTTGTTATTTCACTGAAATATCATTCAGTCTACAATTATATTCTTTTTCATCTCTGTTTGCTGGTTGTCTTCACCAGGGGAAAGTCATAGATCAGTGATGGCGCTCTCGTTGGGGCCGCGCTCCGGAAAAGCCGAATTTCTGGGTTCTAGCACGCATGCGTCCCTGACGATCAGCTGGCTGGCACACATGCACACACTGGTTTTCAACACTGCTGCACATGCGAAGGGATCACACTCCGGAAAAGCCAAACTTCTGGGTTCTGGCATGCATGCATCCCTGACAATCAGCTGGCTAGCGCACATGCACACACTGGTTTTCAGCACTGCCACATGTGCAAAGGGATCGCACTCTGGAAAAGCTAAACTTCCGGATTCTGGCATCCATGCGTCCCTGACAATCAGCTGGCTGGCACGCATGCACACACTAGTTTTCAGCACTGCTGTGCGTGCGAAGGGATCACACTCCGGAAAAGCCAAACTTCTGGGTTCTGGCATGCATGCATCCCTGACAATCAGCTGGCTAGCGCACATGCACACACTGGTTTTCAGCACTGCCACATGTGCAAAGGGATCGCACTCTGGAAAAGCTAAACTTCCGGATTCTGGCATCCATGCGTCCCTGACAATCAGCTGGCTGGCACGCATGCACACACCAGTTTTCAGCACTGCTGTGTGCGTGAAGGACAGCTGATCATCGCATGTGCATGCGTGCCAGAAACCTGGAAGACAAACAGGCAAGGCCACGCATGCTGGGCAACACTTTGGGCACGCATGCCATAGGTTCGCTGTCACAGTCTTAGATGGACAATTCTAGATACTATAAAAAGGAGTACATTTCATTAAACCATGCTTGCTTTACAAAATCATGGTTTAAATTCAAGTTTGACCAGTAGAAATAATGGTTAGGAATCGTTCTAGAGGATCTTGGGCAGAAAATTGCTACGATATTAAATTAGAGCCACTCAAGCCCGAAGAATATATGACCAAATGTCCTTGAGGAAACATTCTAATTTTAAAGCTAGAAGTCTGCACGTCCGTGACTCTCTTAAGGTTGTTTTTAATTAGAAGGCTTTAATCACTGGAAGCTTTCAAGAAGAGACTGGGCTGCCATCTGTCAAAAATGGTGTAGGGTCTGTTTGGGCAGGTGGTTGGATTAGATAACACAAGCAGTGGTGGGATTCAGCCAGTTCGGGTCGGTTCGGGCTGGCCCCTCCCCTCCCCGCCCCTTCCAGGAGTCCCCGCGCGCCCCATTTTGCTCCCAGGTAAGTGCAGGGAGGCCTACTACACCCAAAATGGGGCATGGGTGGATGCGGTGCAGGGCCCCAATTGCACCGTTTTTGCTCCCAGGAGGCTGCAGAGAGGCCTACTAGGCCCAAAACGGGGTGCGGGTGTGTGTGCCGTGTGCCCCCCCCCTCCGTGGCCCATTTTTGCTCCCAGGGGGGTGCTACCTGTGACACCCCATAGCCACACCCACCATAGCCACGCCCACCCGGCCAGTCATTAGGGCAGAGAATCGGTTTTTAAATTATTTGAATCCCACCACTGCATACAAGATCCTTTCCAACTCTGTTAATCTGTAAATCTTGAAAATTCATGAATGTATATAACATCTATGACTTGTCCTGTAATTCTACATTTGCAGAACCGTCTCCTTTAAGATCAGAACCATGTTGCTCTCTAAATAGCACGAGTGGTACTTATTGATTAGTAAGTTGTGCTAAAATAGAGTTCTCAACAGTGGTGAAATCCAAATTTTTTTACTACTGGTTCTGTGACCTTGGCTTAGTGGGCATGGTGTGGCTTGGTGGGCATCGTGGGTGTGGCTTGGTGGGCATGGCCACTCTCTGTCTCTCTCTCTCTCTCTCTCTGTCTCTCTTTCTCTCTCTCTTTCTCTCTGTCTCTCTTTGTCTCTGTCTGTCTGTCTGTCTCTTTCTCTTTGTCTCTCTTTCTCTGTCTCTCTGTCTCTCTTTCTCTTTGTCTCTCTTTATCTCTCTTTCTCTGTCTCTGTCTCTCTTTCTCTTTGTCTTTCTCTCTTTCTCTTTCTCTCTGTCTCTGTCTGTCTCTGTCTCTCTGTCTGTCTCTCTGTCTCTCTCTCTCTCTCTGTCTCTCTCTCTCTGTCTCTGTCTCTCTGTCTCTTTGTCTTTCTCTCTTTGTCTCTCTTTCTCTTTCTCTCTCTTTCTCTTTCTCTGTCTCTGACTCTCTCTGTCTCTATCTCTCTTTATCTCTTTCTGTCTCTCTCTGTCTGTCTGTCTCTGTCTTTCTGTCTCTGTCTCTGTCTCTCTTTCTCTTTGTCTTTCTCTCTTCGTCTCTCTTCCTCTCTCTTTCTCTTTCTCTGTCTCTCTGTCTCTGACTGTCTGTCTCTCTCTGTCTCTCTTTCTCTTTATCTCTTTGTCTCTCTTTATCGCTCTTTATCTCTCTTTCTCTGTCTCTCTGTCTCTGCTTCAAAACTGATTCAAAAGTGCCTCTTTCAGCCTCTTTGCGTGAGCCTGAAATAAAGTTGTGCCTGCTTTAAGACTCTCATCAACTTCAATGAGTCAAATGCTTTCTCCTTTCTATATGCGGCTTCAAGAATAGGACAGCCAAGAGGGGAAGCGATCTAGAGAAAGCTCTAATTACAGCTTGCCACTAATAGACTTAAAATAAAACAGAGAAGCAGTCTTCAATTATCTCAAAGGGGCTTTTTTTCAGGCGGCAACTGGACTTTCTTCATTTTTTTTCTTTTGAAGATGTTTCGCTTCTCATCCAGCTCTGACAGGATAGTGGGGAACGGAATCCTGTCAGAGTTGAAGAAGCTTCTTGAATGAGCTTTTCAAAAGAAAAAAAAAGAAAAGAAAGTCCAGTTGCCTCCCGAAAAAAGCACCTTTGGGACAACAATGACCTGGATGTCTGAATATCTCTACAGACATTTAATCTTCAATTATGTTTAAAACGGAGGGAAAAAAATCACAGGAGGGCTATTGGCTTTTACCTTCTTTGCCACCTCTGCTAATAAAAACGTTTTTCCGGTGCATGGCCCTCCATAGACGATCAGAGGATTAACGTGGCCCATTTTCTTCGGCAGGAGGTATTTACGCATGATAGTTCTGGCCTCACATCTATATTCATAGAAGGAAGAGTAAGTTCTAGCCAGAGAGGTGTGTTGCAGGACCTCATCAAAAATCCAGTCTGTCTCTATGTCGAAATTCTGTTGGACTGTTGCTTGGATGATGTCGATCATGTCTTCGTAGAACTGTTTGCCGAGGCCTTCGATGTAGTGGCTCTCCACCTCTTGGGTGTAACCGTACTTGATGTCACAATGGGTAACGGAAGTGTAGACTCTCAAGTTGGACGAAGCCACAATGGTGGGTACAAATTCGTCCCTCAGTCGGATGAGTTTCTCAAGCGCTTCTGGATCCCTCAGAAACTTCCCGCCTCCGTGGAGCACATCTATGTATTTCTCCATCTCGGGAGCCTTCACAAAACGGTCGATGTTGGCAATCTTCCGGATATAGCAAACACACTTCTTTAAAAAAGCCGGGGTTTGTTTTCCTAAGGCAAAATCGAATTCGTCTTCGATAGCTGTGAGGAAGAGAGAGAAAAAAAATAAGAGAACATCAAGATTGCGGAGAATAAAGTGGAATCTGCTGCGCGGAATCCAAATTTACTAGACCGTATCAAAGGTGCTTTTTTTCCCCAAAAGGCGACTGGACTTTCCGGTTTTTCCTTGAAGACGTTTCGCTTCTCATCCAAGAAGCTTCTTCAGCTCTGACCAGATGATGGGGAAGTTCCTAAGGTTGGCTGGGGGAATTCTGGGAGTTGAAGTCCACCCATCTTAAAGTTCCTGAGATTGGTTGGGAATATTCTGGGAGTTGAAGTCCACCCATCTTAAAGTTCTTGAGGTTAATTGGTTGGCGGGGGGGGATTCTGGGAGCTGCTGTCCACCCATCTTAAATGTCTATGGAGATTCTCAGTCATCCAGGTCATGGTTATCCCAAAGGTATTTTTTCAAGAGGCAACTGGACTTCCTTGTTTTTCATTGAAGAAGCTTCTCTTCAAATCCAAGAAGCTTCTTCAGCTCTGACTGGATGGTGGAGAATGGAAGGATTTATATTCCTTGCAGACAACTGGTCATTTGCATTCTTTTTAGCAAGTCATTGAGGCCATCTGGAGGTCTATCTGTGTCTGTTGTGACTCCGACCCCCGAGCCCGTCTTATCGGAGGGAGAAGGCTCCGAAAGTGAAGGAGAGGAGTTGGACAGGCCTCCCTCTCCAGGACCCTCCTCTCTGGCAATGCCTCAGGTGTCTCCCGAAGGAGAAGAGATTGGCCAGGAGCCAGGTATCGCCGAGCAGTTGCAGTCGGACAGTGACGAAGATAAGTCTTGGCTGGATCCACGCTAGCGTCGGAGAGACAAGCGCACACAGCAGAAAAGGAGGCATGCCAGAGATTAAGCTGAATCACTGGACCACACCCCACAGGGGATAAAAGGGGGTGTGGTGGCCATTTAGGCTCTGTGACGGACAAAACTAAACAACTAGCAAGTCGCATTGTATCTCTGAAACTACGTTATCTGCCTGCCTTGGATTTAATACGGACTGGACTTGACAATTCTGTGGCTTTGTGTATTTGTTTTGATTCTCTGTGAGTAAAGTTCTTGGCAAGCAGCTACTGGGTTGCTGCCAATCCTGTTATCGAAGGAATTTATTGTCTGCAAGTTTTATTTAACTCCTGGCTGACTGTTTGTGTGCGTGTGTGAGACAGGGACAGAACAGTGTCCTCAGGGTCACCTGAGTAGTGCAAATGAGCGTGGAGCCTTCTTGGAACTGCTGAAAGGACTGTAGGTTGGAGATAGATGACAGCTGAAGAAGCTTCTTGGATGAGAAGTCTTCAAAGAAAAACCAGAAAGTCCAGGTGCCTCTTGAAAAAGCACCTTTGGGACAACCATGACCTGGATGACTGAGAATCTCCATAGGTATTTAGCTATACAGTACAGAGCTGAAGAAGTTTCTTGGATGGGAAGCAAAACATCTTCAAAGAATAGCAAGAAGGTCCAGTTGCCTCTAGAAAAAGCATCTTTGGGAAAAACATGACCTGGATGACTGAGAATCTCCATAGACATTTAGGCCGTATCAAGCTCTATCAAGCTTCTCTAATTGTTTCCCCATATTCTATTCTTGGGACTAGGAAGACAAAGCCAGTTATGCTCTGTTAAGGTTATACAGATAGTCCTCGACTTACAACTGTTCATTTAGCGACCGTTCGAACTGACAACAGCACTGGAGAAAGTGACTTATGACCAGTGGTGGGATTCAAGTAATTTAACAACCGGTTCTCTGCCCTAATGATTTCTTCCAACAACCAGTTTGCCAAATTGCTCAGAAAGTTAACAACCGGTTCTCCCGAACTGGCTGAATCCCACCATTGCTTATGACCATTTTTCACACTTTGCCGTTTCGGCGAACCAGAGAAAATTTCTGCTACCAGTTCACTTGAACTGGTTAAAACTGGCCTCTGCTTACTACCATTGTAGCATTATCATCTGTCACATGATCAAAACTCAGATGCTTGGCGACTGATTCGTATTTATGTCCTGGGCTGTGTATGTGTGTCACGTGATTGACCTTCCGATGACCTTCTGATGATTGAAATCAGATGGGGAAGCCTGATTCGCTCAGCCACCATGTCAGCAGCTTAACAACTGCAGTGGTCCGCTTAGCAGCGGTGGCAAGGAAGGTCGCACAACGGGAGCAAAACTCACTTGAACAAACGCCCGACTCAGCCACAGCAACGCAAGGCTCTCATCAGAATGGAGGAAGCTCCTTGGGATGAGAAGCGAAACCTCTTCAAAGAAAAACCAGAAAGTCCGGTGGCCTCTTGTAAAAAAAAAACCTAAAAAAGAAAGCACCTTGGGGGATGGCTTCTATTGTGGTCGTAAGTCGAGGACAACCTCTACAGTGCCTTTTCTATCTCTTCATCGTTTCAGGAGTGGGGCTGAAGAGACATAATTTAGGAACAATAATCCCTGCGATGGAGAATTGCATACCATTATTTAGTGGCTACGATTCAGATCCAAGGAGCTTTTTTGGGGGGGGGGGGGGGGGGGGACATACTTCCCTGATCGGGTGCAATCCTATCTCAGCTAAATATCTGTCTACGCACTGTGCACCTGGATTTTATGTTTACCAGAGGAAAGATAGCGCTTTGCTTGACTGTGTTTCATTTTCCCCTTTTCATACAGTATCTTCACGGCTGTCTTAAACATCACCTTAATTTCTTCTGATATCTCCTGCCATTTGCTCTCACTGACAGGGTTGCAAGAGGCTTCCATCTTTAAAGCAACAAAAAGACAAAAAGAAAGGAGAAACAAAAAAAAGAGAGAGGGAAGATCAGTGCCAGGGTTTAGACAATTGCATAAAACAGTCTCGATAAAATTAACTTGGCAGGTTTTATGTTTTTTAATACAGGGATGTCCAACTCAAGGCCTGTGGGCCGGATCCAGCCTGCGGGGTGCTTAAATCTGGCCCGTAGGGCCTGGCTGAAGATATCAAAGGACTGGTCCGCTGTGCTTCTGCTGGCCAAAATAGGCCGCAGGGGAGCTGTGTGTGCCCCCCCACCAAGGCCCGTTTTCGGCCTCCCTGGCCTCCAGCAGCACTCTGCCCACCATGGCCCCACCTACCCCAGCCATATAGTTGTGTTAAAATGAAACTAACCTTTAGATCAGTGGTGAAATCCAATTTTTTTTAACTACCGGTTCTGTGGGTGTGGCTTAGTGGGCGTGGCAGGGGAAGAATACTGCAAAATCCCCATTCCCTCCTGACTCCTGGGGAACGATATTGCAAAATCTCCATTCCCACCCACTCGGGACAGCCAGAGGTGGTATTTGCCAGTTCTCTGAACTGCTCAAAATTTCCGTTACCGGTTCTCCGAACTGCTCAAAATTTCCGCTACCGGTTCTCTGAACTGCTCAAAATTTCCGCTACCGGTTCTCCGAACTGCTCAAAATTTCCGCTACCGGCTCTCCGAACTGCTCAAAATTTCCACTATCGGTTCTCTGAACTGTTCAAAATTTAAGCTACCGGTTCTCCGAACTGCTCAAAATTTCTGCTACCGGTTCTCCGAACTGCTCAAAATTTCCTCTACCAGTTCTCCAGAACCTGTCAGAAGCTGTTGGATTTCACCCCTGCTTTAGATGACGCAGACTGTTTTGGAGGGAAACTTAGCATATTGATATTTGGGCGGGCTTTTTCTAGTTTTATGATTGGTTAAGGCCCTGTGGGCCTCGACTATAAATAACAGGCATTTAACTGCAGTTCCTCGGTTCCATTTTTGAGTCAATAAATGCTGTGGAAGCTATGTTGGACTGGTTCTTGCCTATTGAAGCCCACTACACAACACGCCCCCACTCCCGGCCCTCTGAGGTCAAACTCAACCTTGATGCGGCCCTCAAAAGAAATTGAATTTGACACCCCTGGTTTAATATTTTTATATATTAAATTTATTTGCCGCCCTTCTACTTTCGGAAAAAAAACCATCAAATCCTTCAGAAACGATATGCACAACTCTGAAGGAAGGAATATTCATTTTAAAGCAGGGTGCGTATAATTCAAGATAAGGGAGCCATATTAAAATAACTGCTCTCAAAAGCGATCAATCAGAACAGACCTGGAAGGGACCTTGGAGTTCTTCTAGTCCAATCCCCAGGTCAAGCAGAAGACCCTATACCATTTCAGACAAATGGCTGTCCAGTCCAGAGGGTCTGCAACCTTAAACACTCAAAGAGCCATTTGGACCCGTTTCCCACAGAAAAGAAAACACCCGGGAGCCACAAAAACCCTTCCCGTGCCTGACTATTTCTTGAGCGGCCACAAAACTAGCCTATGTAGTTGAAGTAAACGTTCTGTTTTTTTCTGAAACTTTTCTTTTCTTGGATTTATCCATGGTTGGCCTACCAGGGGTTGAAAAGCTCAATAAATTGCGTGCCAGTGGGTGTCGCACATTGGCGATTGTGACGCATATTTTCAGTGACAGGGAGCCGCAGAAGAGGGGTGAAAGAGCCACATGCGGCTCCAGAGCTGCAGGTTGCTGAGTTTCTTCTTAAAAACCCCCAGGGATGAAGCACCCACAACTTCTGACGGCAAGACGATGCAAGTGATTAGTCCACGGTAAGATAAGTGAGCAAAATTAAGAGAAGTGCTCTCAATGCGGTCGAGATAAAAGTTTTGCCATTTTAATTGGGGAGCAACCAAAATAGACACACTTTTATCTTTGCTGCACTGTTAGCGGGAGCATAAAATTTTGATAATAGGTAAGAAACTGTACGGCACATATTCAGAATAAAGGGAAACTCGTAGAGGTGAGCACTGGAAACCCGAAGATCAGCTGGCGAGTGCGCGCGGGCCTGTTTTTCGGCCGTTTTTGGGCCATTTTCAGACCGTTTTTCGGCGCTCCGGCACCCGCGAACACCAGCTGGCTGTGCGCACCACAAACCAGAACTGGCGATGGGGTGTGCGCGCCCACAGAGAGGTCTCTGCGTGCTACCTCTGGCACACGTGCCATAGGTTCACCATTACGGGTGTAGGGTCTCCTGCTTGGGCAGAGGGTTGGACTAGATGACCTTCAAGGTCCCTTCCAACTCTGTTAATATGTAATAAAAAAAGGCAGAATAGATAAGAGATCCTCTTTAGCTTCTGATGCATTGCTTTGTCAAGATTCTTTCTGAATGTCATCTGCAAAAAGACGATTAAACACAAATTATCTCCAGAAATAAATGCATCGGGCTCTAATTGCAGAAAAAATTAGGTGGGGTTGCAAAAATGACACTTTTTAAAAAAAAATTATTTACATTTACAGCGCGAGCCTTAAGGGAAAGCACTTGTAATATTTCAGCTTCAGAGAACAGGGCGTGACTGCAACGGATTCTTGTTTTGTTGGGGGGAAAAAAAATCCTTCAGGAATAGTACGCCCAAATCTGAAAGAAGGAATATTTTTTTTAAAACGGTGTGCTTATTCAAAGTTGTTACCGTGGGATGAAAAATGGCGTTAAAAGGTAAGGGTGGGTTTCAGTAAAATATCCCACCAAGAATAACTGAAGATCATTACAAGTCACAGTGGTGCAGTGGCTTAAAGGTGGAGCTCTTGCCTCACAATCGGAAGGCTGTGAGTTCGATCCTAGGTAGTGGCAGATTGTTTCTCTCTCTGGGCACACTGAGAATATATCTGCTGAACAAAACTCCACGTTGGTGACAGGAAAGACATCCGGCCATTAAAACACTCTGCTAGCTCCATTTGGTTGCCCTGACTCCACCCTGCAAGGGATGATGGGGTCGTTAAATGACGATGACGATTACAAGTCACTACACTGAGATGTGGTGGCTTAGTTGTTTTCTAATAAATAAAAACAACACAATAAAAGTTGTGTTGTTGTGTATATACATATATTTTGTTCTTTTTTCGTAGGTCTATATGTGCATTACTGTTCTAGCCAGGGTTTTTCCTACGTAAATCAAGATGTTTGTATAGCCATAGTTAAGTGACATCCCAAATCACTATTTTCTAGGCTTTATCAGACATTTAAGCAGTATTATGCTGTCTGCTGAAAGACTTAAGGGAGACTAAGATAGATCTATTTCGGCCTTATAAGGCCTCATCAATTAGCCACACCCTCATTTTATGACTCCTCCCTGTAACGGTCAAATATTTATTTTGTTCTTTTTTCGTAGGTCTATATGTGCACATATAGTGGAACAATTCGCCTCCAGAAGTTGTGAATGCTCCAACACTGGAAGTTTTTAAGAAGATGTTGGATAACCATTTGTCTGAGGTGGTGTAGGGTTTCCTGCCTAAGCAGGGAGCTGGACTAGAAGTCCTCTAAGCAGTGGTGAAATCCAAATTTTTTACTACCGGTTCTGTGGGCGTAGCTTGGTGGGCGTGGCTTGGTGAGCATGGCAAGGGAAGGATACTGCAAAATCTCCATTCCCACCCCACTCTGGGACCAGCCAGAGGTGGTATTTGCCAATTCTCCGAACTGCTCAAAATTTCCGCTACTAGTTCGTCAGAACCTGTCAGAACCTGTTGGATTTCACCCTTGCCTCCAAGGTCCCTTCCAACTCTGTTATTCTCTTCTATTTTTCACACTTACGACCATCACATCACCCCGTGGCCATATGATTTACATTTGGAGGCTTGACTGACCTGTATTTATGACGTTATCACTGTTCCGTGACCACTTTCCATGACTTTCTGACAAGCCAAGTTAACGGGGAATGCCAGATTCGCTTAACAAACGTGTCCCTCATTTAACCACTGCAGCACTTCACTTCTCAAACGTCGCAAGAAAAGTCGGAAAACGGGGCAAAACTCACTCAACAAATTTCTCGCTTAGCAACATATATTCAGGGCTCCATGGTGGTCGTACGTTGAGGACTACCTATGTTAGAATATGCGTGTGTTGTGGGCATGTACCATAGTTTATTGTACCTAAGAAGAAAAATGTATATTTCTAGTCACTTTCCCATAGAAAAATTTGATTCCAAATCTAGGGGGTGTAGAGTACCTTTCCTGCCCCATCTGTTTCCTTTCTGAAATATTGTCTCCATGGCAACCATCAGCAGGGAGGAACATGGTTCCTGTACGAACTCTTAATGATGGAAAGTATCCATGGCAACTCTCCCATGCTGTTATTTCCTCCTCATCTCCCATCCCTCCCCAGGTCTGATAACTTGAAGGACTTCTAAACATAAAACAAGAAACTTGGATGGGCAGGTGAAGGAATGAGTAGTTTCACTACGTCCAGTACATCCAGCCTGTTGAAAAGAAGGATTAGGGAGGACATGATGATGTTCTTCCAGTACTTGTGGGGCAGTTGACTTATTCTCCAAAGCACCAGAGGACAGGTCAAGAAGTAATGGGTGGACCCTTGTTAAGGAGAGAAGCAACCTAGAACTAAGGAGAAATTTCCTGGTGGTGAGAACAATTAATCAATGGAAGAGCTTCCTTCCTTGAGCTGTGGGTGCTTCATCATTGGAGGTTTTGAAAAACAGAACGGGACAAATCTCCACAGCCATCTCACCACAGTTAATTCACCACAGCCATTTCATCATGGCCAACCAACCTATGGTCCTCTTGTAGTGGCCAACTCACCATGAGGCAGCTTGCTGGGGCCATGGTGGGTGTGGCCAGGGGGTGTGACAGTCAGCACTTGGCTTCCTGCACCCCCTTGGGAGCAAAAATGGGCCGCGGGGGGTGGAGGGGACATGCCGCTCCCCCATGCCCCGTTTTGGGCCTAGTAGGCCTCCCTGCACTTACCTGGGAGCCAAAATAGGGTGCTTGAGGACTCCTGGAAGGGGCGGGGCGGGGCAGGGCCAGGCCAGCCAACAATTTAACTACCGGTTCACCTGAACCGGCCCCAATTGGCTGAATCCCACCACTGCATACATCTCCATGAATCAGTGAGGCTTTTGAACATTTTTATGTATTTTAGATACACCTGTAACATTGTACAAGAAAGAAGGGCAGAATCTGGGGGCGGAGAGAAAAGAGGAAGCAGCCTAGAATCCCTACATAGCCGCAAGTGAACTAAGTCCAATTCCTCTTGAATTCCCTTGACTCTTATCTAATTTATCTAACTCAAAGGTGCTCGCTTTTGAGAAGATTCCTGTTCATAGGAGATATAAATAGCAATAAATCAGCTTCATTGGAGTTTTGTGGTCTTTCATGCCGGACAAGCATTGTCTTGATTATTTAATAGAAAGAGAAGAGAGAGAAGGAGAGAAAAATAAATACGGGAAAGGCGTGTGAAAGTTAGGGTAGATTAGCCATGGAATCTATGCTTTGAATTTAAGCTACAAAAATGTAAGACCTTGATTTCACGTAAACAATCTTGATTTCCTGAAGCATTTTCTGTTTATCGGGGTTCCTGCTTAGAGGAAGAACACATGTGCAGCTTTATGCATGAAGATAGTCTCTAGAGGGGCTATATCGTTGGATCGACACTGACAGGGAGCGAAGCATAAAACGGAGTGCTCACACATTCAGCAATCTGGACAATGTAACTCGCAAATTAGGTTTATATTTACTGTAATGGATATCAGTTTGCCATGACTTCAACGAAGGTATCTTGGGAACTTTGCTGAGGACCGCTGAGATTTTGAGGTCAGATAATTTTTTTAGCTTTCTCAGAGAGCTACAATTCTCAGAAGAAATGTCAGGTGCGAAAGTCCAGGTCCATAAGTGAAGATCCAATTAAGCTGGTTTATTGCTAAACAGCCTGTGATCTTCTCAAGTAACGGTGAGCAACCAGCTGGGAGTTAAGTAAGAATCAACAGAATTCAAGGGGATGTTGGACTTAGTCTGCTTGTGGCTACGTAGAGATTCTAAGATAATCCCTCTTTTGACTCCGCCCTCAGTCCCTTGCCCTGCAAAAAGAGACATGTCCTAAATCAGGGGTGTCAAATTCAAGGCTTGGGGGGGGCAGATGTGACCCGCGGGGTGCTTATATCTGGTCCACGGGGTTGCCTTGGAAACAGCGAAGGACCAGTCCGCGGTGCCTCTGCCAGCGAAAACGGAGCTCACGAGAGTCGTGCGCGGCTCTCCTGAGCGCCGTTTTCACTGGCAGAGGGTTGCAAGAGGCCGTCTCAGCCGAAAACGGAGCTCAGGAGCCCGTTTTTGCTGGCAGAGCGCTCGGGCCACCACAGGTGCCCCCCAACACAAGTGATGTCATGCTGTCCATGCCCACCCTCCCCCCTGAGGTCAAACACAACCCTGATGCGGCCCTCAATGAAATCGAGTTTGACACTCCTGTTCTAAATCAACAGCACATGAAGAAGATTTACCATATTGGGATTGCTCTTCATAATGTCCGGTTTCGGTTTGAGGTAATAAGTTGGGGGCACGGCGTTCTCATCCCGGCAGTAGCACTCTTCCAAAATCTTGGTTTCTAGCTTGGCCTCAATAGCGGCATCCAGGATCATTTCGAATTCTGAGGATTCCACTTCCCCCGGGATCCGGATACTTCCGTATTTTTCTCCCAAAAGACCCTGTTGTGGAGACAACACAGAACAACATTCAGGAACAATGCCGACGACATTGTCCATAAAAGCTTAGACAGCCATTTTCCTTGTTCCAAGAGGTTAATAAGCCCAATAACAAGAACAAATTGGAAATAGTACAAATTTCATTTTCCTAGTCTCAACAATGTAGAGAAAGGAAGACTACGCCCCATAAAACACAGCTATTGGGGAGAATGAGTGTGTAAGAGAGACAGGTAGACTTCAACTACTGTAATGCTCTTTACATGGGGCTCCCCTTGAAGAGCACTCGGAGGCTCCAACTGGTCCAGAATGCGGCCGCGCGGGTAGTTATAGGAGCGAGTCGTTGTGCCCACGTGACACCTCTCCTGCGCGAGCTGCACTGACTCCCAGTGGTCTTCCGGGTGCAATTCAAGGTGTTGGTCACCACCTTTAAAGTGCTCCATGGCTTAGGACCCGGGTACCTTCGAGACCGACTTCTGCCACCAGTAGCCTCCCACTGGCCAGTCTGCTCCCACAGAGAGGGTCTCCTCAGGGTGCCATTGTCCAAGGTATGTTGGCTGGCGACACCCAGGGGGAGGGCCTTCTCTGTGGGAGCTCCTGCCCTGTGGAATGAACTGCCCCCAGAATTGCGCAAGATCTCCGACCTCCGTGTATTTCGTTGTGCCCTCAAGACCCTGCTGTTCCGCCAGGCCGGGCTATCAATGTAAATGATTTTAAAATTTTTGGGTTTTAATTTGGGCTGAAATTATTTAATAATTTTAATTATTTTTTAATTGATGTCTGTATATTTTTGTGTTTTTAATAGGCTGTACACCGCCCTGAGTCCTTCGGGAGAAGGGCGGTATAGAAATAAAATTATAAATAAATAAAATAAATAAGACTTAACGACCGCAATTGAGCCCAACATTTCTGTCGTTAAGGGAGAGATTTATTAAGTGAGCTTGTAACCCATTTTACAACCTTCCTTGCCATACTTGTTAAGTGAATCACTGCAGTTAAGTTAGTAACAGGGTTGTTAAGTGAATCTGGCTTCCTCATTGATTTTGCTTGTCAGAAGGTCGCAAAATCAGGGGATCACCTGATCTGGGACACTGCAACCGTCATAAATACGGGTCAATTGCCAAGCGTCGGAATTTTGATCACACAACAATTAAAGAGAATTAACTCTTGCTTTTCCAAGCTGCCAGTTGTAATGCAAGGGGAATCACGGAACCCAAAGTAGCATTTTTATTAATTCCTCCGTTGTTTGCAAAGAATCGTAATATTTCCACCTAACACATCCTAATTGAAAGCCATGTTAAAACATTAAACACTATGTACAAAAACATATTCCTGGGCCTGGAAAACTAGTTTTTGAGATTCAGCCAGCAGATGGCATTATTTCACCTAATAATTTGATTTTTTAAAAAACGAAACGCCGTATTTACAGTAACAGAAAATTGGAATATATGATTATTTATACCAGCAGGTGTGAGACCTAACATGTTGAACAGCTGTTTGGACCAATAATTACATATACGTTCTTAATACATCACACCATCTGACTTATGGATGTGAAAAAATGATTTCTTTTTTTATAAGTTTGTGCCCTTGAAGCCTATTCAGAGGAAATTGCACCTAGGGCAAAAGGCAAAAACATTAACTTGTCCAGGACCTCATATTTGAGCAAGAATCTGAACCAGGGGTGAAATCCAACAGGTTCTGACAGGTTCTGGAGAACCGGTAGAGGAAATTTTGAGCAGTTCAGAGAATTGGCAAATGCCATCTCTGGCTGGCCCAAGAGTGGGGTGGGAATGGAGATTTTGCAATATCCTTCCCCCAAGAGTGGGGTGGGAATGGGGAGTTTGCAGTATCCTTCCCCTGCCACGCCCACCAAGCCACACCATGCCCACCAAGCCAGGCCCTCAGAACTAGTAGTAAAAAAATTTGGATTTCACCACTGATCTGAACCCAAAATGGCTGTGAAAGTTGGACCATAAGGAAGGCTGAGAAGGCCAAAGAATGGAGGCCTTTGAACTCTGGTGCTGGAGAAGACTCCTGTGAGTCCCTTGGACTGCAAGGCCATCAAACCGGTCAGTCCTAGAGGAGATCAACCCTGACTGCTCTTTAGAAGGTCAGATCCTGAAGAGGAAACTCAAAATTCTTTGGCCACCTAATGAGAAGGAAGGACTCCCTGGAGAAGAGCTTAATGCTAGGAAAGATGGAGAGCAAAAGAAGAATGGGACGGCAGAGAACAAAGTGGTTGGATGGAGTCACTGAAGCAGTTGGTGTGAGCTTAAATGGACTCCAGAGGATGGTAGAGGACAGGAAGGCCTGGAGGAACTTTGTCCATGGGGTCACGATGGGTCGGACACGACTTCTCAACTAACAACAACAACTGAACCCAAATTCCAATGTATTACCTTTCGACGTATCTCTGAATTACAAACTCTCAAAATTATATTTAGCAATGACAAAGAACGGCCAACGATTCTATTCGTTTTTTTTAAATAATAAAAAAAACTGTTTAACAATGTTCACTTTTGAAAATATATAAAATTCATTAGCCAAATGTGGCAAGTAATTAGAGTTTAGCTGTGAATAAATAGGACGATCTTGGACCCCCCTGGTCTTAATATTCAATCTACCTTTGGTGATTTATTTTATTCCCGAACATTTAAGCGGGATGAACATTTTATTATTTAGAACAATATCTAGTGTGACATTTAGCACTTTATAAATAGAGTGGAATGTTTTACAGAAATCCAATTCTGCAGATTTCAGGTTTTGAAGATTTTTCTCTTTTTTTACTTTTGGACCTAAAAAAAATGGTTTAGTTATGTGTTGTTTCTTTGAAGCAGTGGTGAAATCCATTTTTTTTTTACTACCGGTTCTGTGGGCGTGGCTTGGTGGGCTTGGTGTGGCTTGGTGGGTATGGCAGAGAAGGATACGGCAAAATCTCCATTCCCACCCCACTCTGGGGCCAGCCAGAGGTGGTATTTGCCAGTTCTCCAAACTACTCAAAATTTCCGCTACCGGTTCTCCGAACTGCTCAAAATTTCCGCTACCGGTTCGCCAGAACCTATCTGATCCTGCTGGATTTCACCCCTGCTTTGAAGTGGTGCGCATAGTTAAATTGTACAGTAATTGCATAGCTAAAGGTCTGTAGAGATTCTCAGTCACTCAGGTCATGATTGCCCCACAACACAATCCTTTCAGCAGTTCCAAGAAGGCTCCGCACCCATTTTGCACTACTCAGGTGATCCTGAGGACATAGATAAATCTCCAAGTGGCATCAATACCCCTCTAAAAGAATGCAAATGACCAGCTGTCTGCAAGGAATATCAATCCTTCTATTCCCCACCATCCAATCAGAGCTGAAGAAGCTTCTGGGTTGAGAAGCGAAACGTCTTCAAAGAAAAACAAGGAAGTCTAGTTGCCTCTTGAAATAAGCACCTTTAGGACTGATGGCCTCATGAGTATTCTTCACGGTAAGAGTGGTTCAATGGTCTTAACTGATTGCTAATTGCCTTGCGATTAAATCTAGTTTGCTCTCATGTGCCACTCACTTCAGCATGAGGACACATCGCAAACTGTGCTGAAGAGGCTGGTTGCCATAGTATCATCTTCATAATATCAGTTCAGTCAGAACTAAAGAAAAGTCTTGGATGAGAAGGGAAACATCTTCAAGCAAACACAAGAAAGCAGTGGGCGTGGCTTGGTGGGCATGGCAGGGGAATGATATTGTAAAATCTCCATTCCCTCCCCATTCCAGGGGAAGGTTACTGCAAAATCCCCATTTCCTCCCTATCAGCTGGGACTCAGGAGGCAGAGAATAGATGGGGGCGGGGCCAGTCAGAATTTTTACTACCGGTTCTCCGAACTACTCAAAATTTCCGCTACCAGTTCTCCAGAACTGGTCAGAACTTGCTGAAACCCACCTCTGCAAGAAAGTCCAGTTGCCTCTTGAAAAAGCACTTTTGGGACAACCTGGATGACTGAGAATCTCCATAGATCAAGGGTGTCAAACTCGATTTCATTGAGGGCCACATCAACATTGTGTTTGACTTTGGGGGTGGGGGTTGGGTGTGGCCGGGTATGGGCGTGGTCAGCTCAACGTCACTCATGTCGTGGGTGCCTGTGGTGGCCCGAGCACTCTGCTAGCAAAAATGGGCTTCCGAGTTCCGTTTTCGGCTGTGGCGGCCTCCTGCAAACATCTACCAGCAGAAATGGAGCTCGGGAGTGCTGTCCACAGCCCTCACGAGCTCAGTTTTCAGTGGCAAACAGCCTCCTGCAACCCTCTGCGGCCCACCCGAGCTCTGTTTTCACTGGCAGAGGCGCCGTGGGCCAGTCCTTTGCTATTTCCAAGGTGGCCCTACAGGCCAGATCTAATAAACCCGCAGGCCGGATCCCGGGCCTTGAGTTTAATACCCCTGCCATTGACAGTTCATGTATATTGCCAGTGTCAGCGTCCCAGCACTGACATATAATAAAGAGAGGAGAAGCTTGAACTTTTGCCTACTAAATCCCTTTGAAGATTCTCTCTCCTCGGAGATGGGAGAGGGGGGAGACATTCCTGTGATCTGACGAAGAAGAGATCAGGAAAGTGACTTGGAAGATAGCCAATGAGAAGCAGAGAATTGGGGATCAGAAAGGGAGGGATTGGGGGGCAAAGGTCAGTACTGACCGTGAAAGACCCAGGATCAGATCGCTGTGCTCGAATAAAGAGAAAATTTCCTTAAAGATCGGCAGTTTGGAAATTCATTTATTTTGAGATAGCATCGAAACCTGACAGCCACATGCTGGCTAGGGAATTCTGGAGGTTGAAATCCACATAACATAAAGTTATTAAAGTTCTCCTGCCCTCAGGTGTTATGGAGACTGAATCGATGCCCATTTCTCTGGGATAGCCCTTCAAGTATTGGGAGATGCCATCATGTCTGTCCTTTGTTACTCTAAACGTCCTATTTCCCTCAGCCATTCATTGTATGATGTGATCTCCAGACCTTCTAACATCCACATTGTTCTTCTCTGCACTCTTTCTAGGGCCTCAGTATCTTTTTTTTAAAATTATTTTTTATTGTAGTAACCAAAATTGGAGACAATTTTCCAAATATTTATTTATTTATTTTATTTTATTTATTTTGTCGCATTTCTATGCCGCCCAACTCCCAAGGGACTCTGGGCGGCTTACAACAGAGAATAAAACAATGCAACAATATGACCTCACTAGCATAGTGTACAGTGGTATTATCACTTCTCATAATCTTGATACAAGTTGGGCCTGGTGGCTCAGCAGACTGATAGCATTGTGATTAACACCAGCTGTCTGCAATTACTGTAAGTTCGAATCTCACCAGGCTCAAGGTTGACTCAGCCTTCCATCCTTTCTAAGGTAGGTAAAATGAGGACCCGGTTTGTGGGGGCAATAAGCTGACTTTGTATAAATATACAAAAAGGATGAAGGCTATTGCTTAACGCATTGTAAGCCGCCCTGCGTCTCCGGAGAAGGGCGGCATATAAATCAAATTAAAAAAAAAAAGTGAGGTACTAATACCACTCTATAAAGCTTTAGTAAGACCACACCTAAAATAATGCATCCAGTGTTGGTCACCACACTATAAAAAAGACGTTGAGACTCTAGAAAGAGTGCAGAGAAGAGCAACCAAGATGATGAAGGGACTGGAAGCTAAAACATACGATAAACAGTTGCAGGAACTGGGCCTGGCTAGTCTAGTGAAGAGAAGGACCAGAGGAGACATGATAGCAGTCTTCCAGTATTTGAGGGGCTGCCACAGAGAGGAGGGGGCCAAGCTATTTTCCAAAGCACCTGAAGGCCAGGCAAGGAATAATGGATGGAAACTGAACAAGGAGAGATTCAGCCTAGAAATAAGGAGAAATTTTCCGACAGTGAGAACAATCAACCAGTGGAACAGAAGTTGCCTTCGGAAGTTGTGGGAGCTTCATCACTGGAGGCTTTTAAGAAGAGATTGGATTGCCATTTGTCAGAAATGGTGTAGGGTCTCCTTCTTGGGTGGGAGGTTGGACTAGATGACCTGCAATGTCCCTTCCAACTCTGTTAATCTGTTAATCTGATGCAATTCTTCTGTTGATGCAGCCAAGAAACTGCATTGGCTCTTTTGACAGATGCAGTATACACTTAGGTTACTATTCACTTACCAGCAGTGGAAGTAATTTCCCCTTCAGAGGTTTATTTCATTTAGCCTCCAGTATTACTTTTCTAGTAGTATGCCCCTTCAGTAGTACGCTATGAATTTTAAATAAAACTTTTATTGTATTAAATTAACCCCTCCCGTATTATGGAACAGGATGCTTGGAGAAAGGAAATGTTTTATTAATTGTTCGTCAGTATTCTTGGACAATGGCAATAACTACAGTTCCCTTCCTAATCTTGTCTGGCTGCACACTTTTTCTTAAATAAAAGGAATCTGTTGCTTTTAACCTTATCCAAAATGTCACATCCAGCGAACAATCTAAAACACAAAAGAGGCAATTTTACACCCTATCAAAGAACGTGAATAGTTTTAAAAAACTATTCTCGGGGAATTCAGTCTGCATTATAAAACCGCAATGCTTTTAAAATCTAAAATGTGATTAGAAAATTGTTAGAAATGAGCTACGTTCAAATATGTTGGCAAAACCAGCAATTAGGAGCAAATGGAATGTCTGCATAAAAGAGAAACTGCCAACAGCAACAAAGATAATCACTTTCCTTCTATTAGGAGTAAAAGCATAGGGGACGTTTTACGGTTGGATATTTTTTAAAAAAATAGAGAGACATTTTCAGTGAATTGGCTGAGGAGCATATATTTTAATTGCCCCGGATGTGATTTTTTCTGCCGAAAGTTCAACGGACAAGATAAGATTTTTCAACTTTATAGAAAGAATTATTTCGTGGAACTGTCTGTCTGAAATATCTTGGAATAGAAGAGAATAATCGTAGCTCAGGGTTGAACTGTGGGGTCCTTGGTGCTCCCTGAGCTTGGTGCTTTTTTTGCGGGCGTTTCATTACCCAACTAGCTAACATCATCAGTACTCTGATGAGTGGGCCAGCATTGATTATGATATGCTTAATATAATATTTAATAATATAATATTTAATAATATAATAAGAATATAATATAATATAATGAAATAATATAATATAATGAAATAATATTTAATAATATTTAATAATATAATATAATAATATAATATAATATAATATAATTGTCAGGTTTCGATGTCATCTCAAATAAATTGCACTCCCAAACAATTAATCTTTGCTGAAATATTCCATTTATTGAGTAAGACAGATCTGGTCCTGACTTCGTCGTAGCCGATACTAACCCTCTGACCCCCAAACCCTTCCCTTTCCGTTCCCCAATTCTCATCTTCTCATTGGCCATCTTCCAAGTCAGTCTCCCCAGCTTCTGACCTCACCCCACAGGAATGTTTCCCCCCTCCCATCCCATCTCCTAGGGGATATTATCTACAGAGAAAATAAGTAGGTGAAAAGTCAAGCCTCGTCTTTTTATGGCAGCATCAGAATGCTGACAATAATATAATATAATATAATATAATATAATATAATATAATATAATATAATATAATATAATAAATAACATAACACCCCATCACATCACATCACATCACAATAATATGATACGGTATAATATAATAATAATAAAATGAAATAATATAATAATATGAGATAATAATAAAATAAAATAAAATAAAATAAAATAAATGAAGGGGAACAAACATATTAGACTAATATTATTTCTGAGATGTCATTCTAAACATGAACGTATCAGATGTGTTAGACAAATCAGTTCTTAACCCAATCTGCCCATCCTCTGTTCAGCAATGTAGAAATGATGATGATGATGAAATATTATATGAAATATTCAGAGGCATCTCTGGAATCTGCCCCACAACAACAACTAAATCTCTGAGGAGATCTTACGTTAAATATGCATCCTTAAGAAAAGGCCACCCCTCCATTAAAAAAACAAAACAAAACTAGATTAATTAAGTAAAACTTTATTTTATACCCACAACAAAACATGGACCTGCTGATGTTTTCAGGCAGTCTTCTAAGAGCCTCATACGTGTCTTTTGGAGATCTGGGCTGTCCCATTCTTCTGGTTCTACTCCCCAGTACAGATCAATGACCTAGAAAGCCAACAAATAATATTATCATAGATATATGTAGTATTAGTCATGAATAGTAAATCAGTTTGTGACTCAACATTTTGAAAAAAAAACAACACACCAAAGGCAATAGTTTAAGGACCTGGGGTTTCACTTCATGTATTTATGACAGTAGCGAAGAATCAATTTTGACAACACTTAGGGCCACACCCAGTGGTGAAATCCAATTTTTTTTACTACAGGTTCTGTGGGCGTGGCTTGTTGGGCATGGTGTGGCTTGTTGGGCGTGGCAGGGGAAGGATATTGCAAAATCTCCATTCCCACTCCACTCTGGGGCCAGCCAGAGGTGGTATTTGCCGGTTCTCTGAACTACTCAAAATTTCCGCTACCGGTTCTCCGAAATGCTCAAAATTTCCGCTACCGGTTCTCCAGAACCTGTCAGAACCTGCTGGATTTCACCTCTGCTCTACGGTGGGAAATTGGGAGTGGGGATTGACATTTGAGGAAGAACCGAGCATTTGGGAATCTGGCTGTGCCTGGCATCTTCAAGGCTGTTTAATCTGAGACTGGAATTTCCCCAGCCTAACACTCGCAGAGTTTCCCAAAACATCTTGGCAGTGCTGGATTGGCTACACATGGACGGACCATGGGAGGAAGGCTGGGGGAACCAAGGGGTTAGTTCTGTATTGATGCTCAGGTTCTGCCTGACTCTACTGCAATGAGCATCTCTCAGCAAAATACCTTTCGCTTCAACCAAATGGAGTCGAGAGTCTTTCTTCCCTAAGGGATCAGACTGGGGCAGGTCTGACAGTGACTCTGTACAGCCCCATTTTATTCTTTATTCTTGGGGTACCGTGGAGGACAGCAAGGACGTTGTGTATTGTGATAGGAAAAATGAACCCCTTTCCCTAATGATCTAGAGCAGGGGTGTCAATGGTGGCCTGTGGGATGGATGCATCACCAGCAGGCAACGCCCACCCCGGCTCCGTGAAGGGAAAAAACATCGCGATTCGTTACGTGACAACAACGTGACACGGTGAGTTTTGACACCCATAATCTAGAGATTCTCTGTACACCGAGCCAATCGTCATAAGAATTATCTAACTTGGTCTTGTAACAGCGAGCGCTAGTCATGTATTCACAGTACTATTTTTAAAATATTTCATATTTTGTTGTTTGGGTTGCCATAATACTGAGCCTTTAAAATAGCAGATGTTTTAATTGTTCACATTTTCTTTTCTGCCTACAGAGCCAGTCTGAATAATCTTAGATGTAAGCCCTCACACGGAGGAGGGGAGAAAAACAGAAAAAAAGAAAAAGAAAACCCCGATATGTTTATTTAAAGAAATGAAGTAATACAGTGTGATTTCATTTTTACCTCACGTGGATAGAAGCATGTTACAGATAGTCCTTGATTTACGACCGTAACTGAGCCTGGAATTATGATCATTTATTTATTGATTTGGAAAATTTATATTATGGCAACTCAAGGCGGCTTAAAAGGTAAAGGTAAAGGTTCCCCTCACACATATGTGCTAGTCGTTCCTGACTCTAGAGGGCGGTGCTCATCTCCGTTTCAAAGCCGAAGAGCCAGCGCTGTCCGAAGACGTCTCCGTGGTCATGTGGCCGGCATGACTCAACGCCAAAGGCGCACGGAACGATATTACCTTCCCACCAAAGGCAGTCCCTATTTTTCTACTTGCTTTCGAACTGCTAGGTTGGCAGAAGCTGGGACAAGGAACGGGAGCTCACCCCGTTACGCGGCACTAGGGATTCGAACCGCCGAACTGCCGACCTTTCTGATCAGCTACTTTAGACGTTTGGACGCAATGTGAGAGCAACCCAAAAGGTTTTTAGGGGGTAGGAACTAGTGCTCCTTGAGCTACAAGTGGAAACATGACAAATATAGACTATGAATGGAGAGTTTAACAGCATTAAAGTGCCTGTGTTGTGTTATCATTTGTTGGATGCTCACAATGTCCTAATAAATGAGTCACGAAAGGAAACATTTCACTTAGGAATAGATCTGAAACACGTACAGCGAGCCTTCTGTCACTTCTGTAATGTTTTAACAGTTTAATTCTATATATGTCCACTGAGAGAAAAAAAAAAAAAAGAGCTCTTACTGAATTGAATGGAACTTGCTCCAAGATGTAATAAACCAGTGTTGGCAAACCTTTTCGGCACCGTGTGCCGAAATGGGAGCGTGTGCGCGCCCCCTGAAAACCGCAAGAGTAGATGGTCTCCCTGTTTCTGGTGCAAAGACCAGCTGTCCGGGGCGCCGGCGCCTCACCTTTTCGAGGTGTCAAACCCGATTTCGTTGAAGGCTGCATCAGGGTTGTGTTTGACCTCAGGGGGTGGGCGTGGCCAGCTCAACATCACCCGTATCGGGAATACCTGTGGTGGCCAGATGTTAAGGCAGCGCTTCCCTCAGACTCTCCCTCGCGCTCATTACCTCAGAGGGCTGGGGGCGTGGCCATGGTGGTCATAGTCATGGTGGGTGTGGCCAGTTCAATGTCACTCTTGTAGGGGGCACCTGAGGTGGCCAAGTGCTAAAGCAGGACTTCCCTGAGACTCTCCCTCACTCTCATTATAATTTATTTCCTTCCTTCCTTCCTTCCTTCCTTCCTTCCTTCCTTCCTTCCTTCCTTCCTTCCTTCCTTTTCCTTCCCTCTTCCTTCTCCTTCCTTCTTCCTTCTCCTCTTTCCTTATTTTTCCTTCCTTGCACTCCTCCCATCTTTCCTCCTTTTTCTTTTTCTTTCTTCTTTCCTGTCCCTTCTTGCATGCTTAAATGCAAAAGGGGAAATGTTTCTCCTTTTGCTTTGTTTTTAGTTTGTTTTGCTACCCCTCTGCCAGCGAAAACGGAGTTTGGGGGGGGGAGTACATGCATTCCCCCCCCTGAGCTCCATTTTCACTGGCAGAGAGCTGCAGGATGTTGTTGCAGCTGAAAATAGGGCCTGGGAGGGCCTCAACCAAAAACGGGGCCAGTCCTTTGCTCTTTCCAGGGTGGCCCCACAGGCCAGATCTAAGTACCCCGTGAGCCGGATCTGGCCCACGGCCTTGAGTTTGACACCCCTACTCTAATAAATCCTGGGAGTTATTTTTTTGGGGAAAAAGAAAAACGAGTAAAGACCTTCTTGCAAAAATGGTGGTTTTGAGAATTCCCTGAGGAAAAGGCTGTGACTTAATCCCGTTTGGCAGTAGCCACTAAAACCTTGTTAAGATTTAGGGCAGGGGTCAGCAACCTTAAACCCTCAAAGAGCCACAAATGTCCTAACCGGACAATTCTGGAGCCGACCGGAAGTCCGGTTCCCCCACCATAGAGTCTCCTCCTAGTGCGGTGTCCTTTTTCCTCTACTTTTCCTAACCATAAACCCATCAATTGTGGAGCCAACTGGAAAATCTGCCCCTTGCCATAGAGTCTCCTCCTAGCACTCCATGCCCCCCCGCAACTGGAAGCTCCTCTCAAAATTGTAGCGCCGACCTGCGACAGGGAGCTGCAGCAGAGGGATGAAAGAGCCACATGCGGCTCCAGAGCCACAGGTTGCTGACCCCTATTTTAGGGGGGGAAAAAATGTCAAGCCAAGATATGGAGTCAATTCTGAATTCAGAAAGGTCACACACTGGTTGGTACATAGAAATCCAATAAGGTTAATGGCAACCGTACCTCGAATGGCAGTTTTATCTTAGGTATCAATTTATCTTTAAACTGAGCTATTTCTTAAAAAAAACCCAAAAACATCAACAACTCTCAAGAGTCAGTATTTAACATAAGGCTTTTGTCAGGTTTCCAGTGATGAAACCCATCCAAATTTTTTTTTAAAAAAAGCCAAGTCCATCTTCCAAAACAAATTTTCTTCTATTTAAGTAAGAATCAAATTGGCAAAGTTGATTGTTGTAATTCTGGATGTGACACAAACCGGAATTACACCACATAATATTGCAAGTTAGAAACATCCCTCAAAAGTCACATTCTCCAATAAACACTCAATCCCCATTTCCCGATGTCGTCAAACTCCACCTTCGATTCTCACCAGGAGCAGCCTCCGTTCCCACGGGAAAGAAAGTCACCTAGCCAAAAAAATCCTCACTATCTGGTTTAGTTCTGCAACCCAACAAGACAGACACAAACTTCAGAGGATAATCAGAACTGCAGAAAAAACAATGGCTACCAACCTGCCTTCCATGGAGGACCTGTATTCTGCACGAGTCAAAAAGAGGGCTGTGAAAATATCTACAGACCCCTCGCATCCTGGACATAAATTGCTTCAATTTCTACCCTCAAAACGACGCTATAGAGCACTGCACACCAGAACAACTAGACACAAGGACAGTTTTTTCCCGAACGCCATCACTCTGCTAAACAAATAATTCCCTCAACGCTGTCAAACTATTCACTAAGTCTGCACTACTATTTCTCTTCTCATAGTTCCTATCACCCATCTTCTCCCACTTACGATTTTATGACTGTAACCTTGTTGCTTGTATCCTTACGGTTTATACTGATTGTTTCCTAATATGATTTGATTTCTTATTTGTTCCCTATGACTATCATTAAGTGTTGTACCTTATGATTCTTGATGAACGCATCTTTTATTTTAGGTACACTGAGAGCGTATGCACCAAAGACAAATTCCTTGTGTGTTGGCTTGGCCAATAAAGAATTCTATTCTATTCTATTCTATTCTATTCTATTCTATTCTATTCTATTCTATTCTATTCTAATTTTTTTTAAAAAATTTTTATTTGATTTATATGCCGCCCTTCTCCGGAGACTCAGGGTGGCTTACAATGCGCTAAGCAATAGCCTTCATCCTTTTGTATATTTATACAAAGTCAGCTTATTGCCCCCACAACTGGGTCCTCAATTTACCTACCTTAGAAAGGATGGAAGGCTTAGTCAACCTTGAGCCTGGCCAGATTCGAACCTGCAGTAATTGCAGGCAGCTGGTCTTAATAACAGGGTGCTTTAGACCACTGTACTACCAAGGCTCATTCTATTCTACTCTACTCTACTCTACTCTACTCTACTCTACTCTACTCTACTCTACTCTATTATCTCCTTCCCCCCACCTTAAGAATGTGGCGAGCCCGAAAAACCCCCTTACATAGGAAAGAGAAAGAAAAGGAATAAATGAGTATGCGAAAGAGCTAAATAAAATGGCTACATGTATGTCAAATTCAGGCTCGGCAGCTTTGCTTTCTGAAACTCGAAAAACCAGTTGACCTTCAAAAAATAAATAAAAATAAAATAAATTACAAAAGAAAGACCTGCCTTTAGCATAAACTGGCATATTGCTGTCCTACTTCTGATTTTTCATGTGCCAGGCGTAATCACATCATGGCTCTCCAACATTTTTGACCACTGAACTGAAGTGATTTGATGCCTGATTGAGTGTGCGCACAAATTGCTGCATTAAAAAGAAAACATATCCCAATTACTCCTCTCATCCCTCTTCTTTTCCCCCTCACAGTTGTGTGTCAAATTATGCAAAAACGGCCTCTTTTGTACATAAGCTGTCAATATTGCTCCTCTTAGCCTTGGATGAGATTGGAATCAGGAGTCTCTGTTGCTAAAATTGTGATGATTTGACGCCGGCAGACAGATTGGCATGCATAACTGACCTGGGCTAAACCTGAAGCACAGTCCGGTGGAGGCCCCGGAGAAGGCCAGAGCCAGGGACTGGCGTGTCCCCTGACTTGAGGCAGAGGGTGAGTGGACGGCATGTGGGCAGAGGCCCCGGGGAAGGCCAGAGCCAGGGAATGGCACATTCCCTGAACTGGCCAAGGCAAACAGCGAGCGGGCGAAGGCTCCGGGGAAAGGGCGGAGCCGAGGAATGGCTTGTTCCCCGACCCAGCTGAGGTGAGAGGGCAGAGGCTCTGGGGTCCTGGGGAATGGCATGTTCCTGGGCCCCCGACCCGAGGTGAACGGGCGAATGGGCAGCATGCTTACCTTTGGTGAGCAGAGCGGGCGAGGCGCGGAGGCGAGGCGAGGTGATTAGCTAGGCCGCGTGGCAAAGGCAACATATATAGGGCAGGGTGGGGCGAGCAGGAGGGCGGAGCAGGCAAGCAGCAACTGGGTAGGGGCGAGTGGCAACCGGGCGGGCGGAGGCAGAGCTAGTCAGAGGTGGTATTTGTCGGTTCGGCGAACCAGTTAAAATTTCCGCTACCGGTTCACCTGAACCGATCCAAACCGGCTGAATACCACCTCTGCTGAGACGTGGTGAATAATCATAATACTAGCAATTTCACAGCACACGCAACTCTACCAATGGGCATCACAAGAGCAACGAGACACCACTTTTTAAGTTAAAGGGCAATTCCGATTCGAAGGTGAGAATAAAACGGTGGAGTGAGCCAGACAAAAATGGATCAAACAATAATGGCACATGATTACCCTTGGCTGTGAAATCTGAAGGTGCCGCATGGCTGTTTCGTTTTGTGAGGCTACACAAATGTCCCCTAGACTTAATACCAGACAGTATCTTCCGGCTGTGACGATGATTTTTAAGTTAGTGCCATGGAGACAACAGCCAAAACACAACACTTGGGCTCACATATTGATTAGGTGGGTGTACATTTAGCATTGCAACCCACAAACGAATGTTGTCGGCATGCTATCCTTTGTCGCAGAAGAAAACCAACAGAAGGCAATTCTTGGGGAAGTCCGCAAATCCAATGGCCATTATTGTTCCATCATACCAGAGGTGCTATTCAGCTGGTTAGGATTGGTTTGGGCGAACCGGTAGGTCTGACAATCAGCTGGCCCCACCCACCCGCACCCGCCCAATCCTGTCCTTTATTTCCTTCTTTCTGGCTCAGCTGATTCGCACGGCACAGCTGATTTCCATGCCTCCACTGTTCTTCTTACCAGGGCTGCCTTAGAAGGTAAGCAGCTGAGCTTCAAATTGCTATATTTTGAATGCTGTGAGGAAGTGTGTTAGGCGCACGCCAGTGGTGAAATCCAAATTTTTTTACTACTGGTTCTGTGGGCGTGGCTTGGTGGGCATGGTGTGGCTTGGTGGGCATGGCAGGGGAAGGATACTGCAAAATCTCCATTCCCACCCCACTCTAGGGGAAGGATACTGCAAAATCCCCATTCCCTCCCCACTCCTGGGGGAAGGATATTTTTGCTCTCCCCACAGGCTCCAGAGGCTTTCTAAGTCCCACCGGAAGTCAGCAAAGGGACCGTTTCCAGCCTCCAGACAGCCTCTGGGGAGTGGGGAAGGCTGTTTTTGCCCTCCCCAGATTCCAAGAAAGCCTCTGGAGCCTGCGGAGGGTGAAAAACGGGCCTACCGGGCCCACCAGGACATCATGTGCCAAAAGTGGGGGGAGTGCGGGGGGGGTCACATGTGCATGCACCGGGGGGGGGGGAGAGGGGAGGCGACGGCAAAAAGGATAGCCATCACTGCTCTATAGGGTTTCCTGCCTAAGCAGGGGGTTGGACTAGAAGACCTCCAAGGTCCCTTCCAACTCTGTTTATTCTATTCTATTCTATTCTATTCTGTTCTGTTCTGTTCTGTTCTGTTCTGTTCTGTTCTGTTCTGTTCTGTTCTGTTCTACTTTATTTCTATTTCTATTCTAATTTCCTGGGAGTTATTCTTTTGGGGAAAAAAAATGAGTAGAGATCTCTTCCAGTCTTGCAAAAATGGTAGTTTCAAGAATTCCCTGAGGAAAAGGCTATGATTTAATCCCATTTGGCAGTAGCCTTGTTAAGGTTTAGGGGGGAAAAAATTGTCAAGTAAAGATACAGAATCAATTCTGAATTAAGAAAGGCAAAATGGGTCACGCTGGTCGGTACATAGAAATTCAGTAAGGTTAATGGCAACCGTACCTCGAATCGCAGTTTTATCCCAGGTATCAATTTATCTTTAAACCGAGCTATTTCTTTTCTCTCTCTCTCTTTTTTTTTTTTGGTTTAAAAAAATAACTCTCAAAAACCAATATTTAACACGAGGTTTTGCTTTCTGAAACTAATTAAATCAATCAATCAGCTGAGCTCCAGAGGAACCAACGGCTAACAGATTTCCATTTAGCAAGCATACGAACATCCCGGCTTAAAATTTCGACCCGTCGGAAACAGTACCTGAAATTCCATCCCATAGTTTTCCCTGCAGAATTCCCGCAGCTTGGGATAGATGTGTTCTCGTAAAGCGTTCCTTTCGGCAACCGTATCTGTAAGCGAGGAGGTAGAAAAGAACAACAATGCTTATTTTAAAAATTGTGAACACAAGCGTAAGGCACAAACCTTGATTCGGTGCTCTAGGGAATAGCTTGTTGAACAGAAAACACTTACTGTGACATTTACCCAAATGTAGTTGAACACTTATGGCAATAATTCAGCAGAATGTTTATACATGACACAGATTTGGGATGCATATATATATATATATTTACATAGCAGTAACTCTGGAAAGATAAGACCAGTATATCAAGCCATTATAAGGAAGCCTTGGAGTCTCTGACTGTGACAATAATTCACTGTGACATTTAATATATATATATTTTGAACAGTCTACTTTTTTCATCCTCTCTCTCTTGGATATTCTGAGGTTGTTGTCTTTCGTAGGATGCCGTCTTACTCCACCAAAGCAGGCTGTGAAAGCTGTAATGAGACAGAAGCAGTCTCCACGTTGGAAATTAGAGCATTTCTGCAATAAACCGACATTGATTGAGGTGATGGAAAGCTTGAATTCATGGCATTTATTTTGGCACAGGAACAGTTGGGTGACTGGGAATGACTCGGGCGGTGGTGGGTTTCGAAATGTTTTACTACTGGTTCTGTGGGTGTGGCTTGGTGGGCGTGGCAGGGAAAGGATACTGTAAAATCTCCATTCCCATCCCAATCCAGGGGAAGGTTACTGCAAAATCCCCATTTCCTCCCGATCAGCTGGGACTCAGGAGGCAGAAAATAGATGGGGGCGGGGCCAGTCAGAGGTGATATTTACCAGTTCTCTGAACTACTCAAAATTTCTGCTACCGGTTCTGCAGAACTGGTCAGAACCTGCTGAAACCCACCTCTGGACCCAGGGCACAGCACAGAGGAAACACAGAAAATTGGCAGTTCAAACCGTTCCTTTATTGCTCCAAATTTCCCCAAACACTTCCATGTTTTTGGCAAGTCCCAAAGCAAAATGATCACACACCCCCCCCCTCTAGTAGCCTCTGTGTCAGCGTTTCAACGCTGGCATAGAGAGCAGAGGAGAGCGAGAGATAAACTCTGAAACTTTTGCCTGCTAAATCCCTTTGAAGTCGGGTTGTCGTGGAAATGAGGGAGGGGGCACATTCCTGGGAGATGATGAGAAAAAGAAGTCTGAAGAATGACTTGGAAGATAGCCAATGAGAAGCAGAGATTTGGGGATCGGAAAGGGAGGGATTGGGGGGCAAAAGGTCAGTCTGCGAGTAGTCCAGTCCAACACCGTGAGGAGTCCAGGAAGCCAAGGAGCAAGGCAATTAATCCAGGAAGTCAGGAAGAAAGCAGGAAATCCAGGAAACTTCAAATGTTGGCAACAACACTTCAACACTCCAGGAATTCAGTGTTTGTTCCCGATAAATCTCCCTCCCCACAATGTCTCCTTAAGTCTCAGTCCCCAGGTGTGCCCAGGACCCTTGCCTGCCCTCCTTTCCTCCCGCAGGTCCAGTTTACTCTTTCTAGGCGCCCGACAGTGAGACGCCGGGCAGCTGAGCAGAGGGCAGCCCCGACAGACACAGCTCAGCTGGCCCAGCCACGGCCTACACTCCTCACCCGCGGCTGAGCTTGGCCACAGGGGGCCTCCGGGCCTCCGCAGGCCGCGGCACTAGCAGCAGCAACACCTGCAGCTCCTCAGCCATCCCCGACGAGACCTGCGCCCAGCTGCGGGATGCGCCAGGACTGCCGTTGTAGTCCTCCGTGACTGCCCGCTCTGCATGGAGGCCTCTCTACCGCTGGTGGCCGCCCTGCAAAGGAAGCCCCGGGGCGGTGATGCTTGCGCTGGGACTGCTGTGGTGGGCACTTGGTAGCGCGGGCTATGTGGACGCGGCACCTGGACATGGAGGCGAGAGCGGGCGGGCTGCCACCATGGTGCAGGAGCAGGCGCTCGAGGTCTATGGTCGGTGCCACGGGCGGTGAAAGGGGCGGGGGGCACAGGAGTTCACAGGGATGTGGCTGCCTTGGGAGGTTTGGGGGTGTGAGTGACCTCTGTGTGTGTGTGTGTGAGAGAGAGAGAGAGAGAGAGAGGGGGGAGCTTATTTTCAGGGGAGGGCGTATATTTAGGCCCTGATCTGTCCCCGTCCACACACACACACAAACACAGCCAGCCGAGGGTTAAGGAAGCACTTGGCACACACCCAGGTCTTTATCTCCAACTTGGCAGCGATATACACACTGTCTGCCAAGTGCTTTTATTTCCACAGAAACAGAAAGATAATATACTCAGCGTACAAGAGTCCAACAAAAATAAATATTCCTCTCAGCAGTTTCGGACGATGCTCTAGTGACTATCCAAGGTTTATTTTTATTCGTCACAGGGATCACTGGCCACCACCCTCTATTATATAGTCTCTGGGGTGTGGTCCAGTGACTCAGTTCTAATCCCTAGCACGCCTCCTGAGCTGCTGCAATCGTTTATCACGCCTTCGGAGGCATGCGTCCAGGAATGATGTCTCTCCTTCACTCTCATCCGAGACACCTGTCTCCCTGCTAATCTCCTCTCCCTCGGCCGGCACCTGAGACAGTGCCAGAGGGGAGGGGCCTGGAGAGGGAGGCCTGGCTGACTCCTCTTCCTCATGCTTGGAGCTTTCTTCCTCCGATGGGATAGGCTCAGACGGCGGGGCCACAACAGGCCCACCCCAAAAATCAGGCTTGGCCTTATTTTCGGGACATGTCCTATTTTCGGGGAAACACGATAGTCGGAACGGAAGAAGCTTCTTGGATGAGAAGAGACCAAAGAAAAACCAGAAAGTCCAGTCCAGAAAAAAAGAACCTTTGGGACAACTATGACCTGGATGATGGAGTATCTCCACAGACACTTGGAAAACAAATATTCTGCAGCCTACATCAACAAAGATCAGAACTGTGCAGTAAAAGCACCATTAAATGACGACTGGTCCTACAAAGTGGCTGTTACTGTATTTTGCAGGTGACTCCTATTCTTTCTTTCTTTCTTTCTTTCTTTCTTTCTTTCTTTCTTTCTTTCTTCCTTCCTTCCTTCCTTCCTTCCTTCCTTCCTTCCTTCCTAACTGAGTTTTTAGAAAGGCGAAAGCAATCAAACTCAAGAGTGCACAGTTGAACCCTGAGCTATAAATATTCTCTTCTGCTGGATGAGTTTTTCTACCGAACTCAGGAACACCATTAAAAGCCGACTTTCATTCAGAGAATTCGGAATGTAACTTTAAAGCCGAATCCATTAGCACCTGCGAATGTAGGTTGTTATTCAATATCTAGTACACTCGGTCCTACAATAGCATTATAATATTTTAATTTCATAAGGTCTCTAGAGTGGTGGGCTGCAACCGGTTCGGACCGGATCGCCCGATCCGGTAGCGATGGTGGCGGGTGGTTCGGAGAACCGGTAGCAAAAATCCCTGCGCCCCCCCCCACCATGCCCAGCTGAGCCGCATGATCATCAGAGGCTCTTTTTTTAAAAACTTTTAAAAGCATTTTTTCTACAACTACTTCCGACAAAAAAATTCTTTTAAAAGTAAAAAAAAAAAAGCCTCTGGTGATCACGCGGCTCAGCTGGGATCGTCAGAGGCTTTTCAAAGCATTTTTTTCTTCAACCTCTTGGCCGAAGAGGTGGTTAAAAAAAAATGCTTTGAAAAGTCTCTGACGATACCAGCTGAGTTGCCTGATCGGCAGAGAGGCTTTTCAAAGCATTTTTAAAAAGCCTCCCTGACGATCCCAGCTGAGTTGCCTGATCGGCAGAGGCTTTTCAAAGCATTAGAAAAAATGCTTTGAAAAGTTTTTTTTAAAAAAGTTGGCCACGCCCACCCAGTCACATTACCCCCCCTCAAGCCACGCCCACAGAACCGGTAGTAACAAATTTTACATTTCAACCCTGGTCTCTAGCAGTGGTGGGCTGCAACCAGTTAAACAACCTGCTCTGTGAACGCACGCCTAAGGCACCTGCGCACGGCGTTCAAAACACAGCAATTTGAAGCTCAGCTGCTTACTTTCTAAGGCAGCCCCGGTAAATAGAACAGTGGAGGCGTCGAAATCAGCTGTTCTGCGCCAATCAGCTGATCCAGAAAGAAGGAAATATAGGACAGAATAGGGTAGAGCCCAGTGGGTGGGGCCAGCTGATTGTTGGAACTACCGGTTCACCCGAACCGGCAGCAGCCCACCACTGGCCTCTAGTCTTTAAACCCGTTTTCTATAGAGATAGTCCTTGACTTACAACACTTCATTTAGAGACCGTACAACGGCAGTCAAAAAAAGTGACTTACAGCCATTGTATACACTTATGACCCTTTGCAGCAACCCCATGCTCACGTGATCAAAACTGGGATGTTTGGCAACTGACTCATATTTATGACGATTGCAATGTTCAGGGGTCACGTCATCCCCTTTTGTGATGATCTGACAAACAAAGCCAATAGGGAGGGCAGATTCACTTAATAACCACGTTACTAACTTAACAACGGTTGTGATTCATTTAACAACTGTGGCAAGCAAGGTGGTGAAATGGAGCAAAACTCCCTTTAACAAATGTCTCACTTAGCAACATACATTTTGGGCTCAATTGTGGTCATATAAGTCGAGGACTACCTGTAGCGAGATGGAAAGAGACTTAAACCCCGGATTTTTAAATGATTTTAAAACTGGATGAGAAATCAAATGCTTTGAGCGCCAAGCAAATTGCTTTAACCATAAATTAAGAGTTAAAACTTTTTTTCCCAATTTAACTGATGATGTCCTTTCTACTCCCATGTGTAAAACGACACAATTTACATTTTTAGATACCCTCAAAGCAGCAACAAAGACCCGCATTGAACTTTTTTCCTCCATGATTAAAGTTTGCAATATTTAAAGAAGGTAAGTCGGCCTTCTTTTACGTCGGTTCAGAGATCAGTCACTGGTTTAGCTATATCCTGTGGTTTCCGCTAAAAATAGTGTTTCCATGCTCAATTACTTCCAATGTTTGAATGGGCTATTAAGTCAATTAACGGCAAAACTGAAGCAGCTTTCTTCGGAGCTC